TGTCTAATAATCCTTCGAATCGCTGCATTCAAATCTGAACGCAAAAATCAACGAGATGGAGTCTATCTTTTGAGTTAGTTATGAAGTTATAAATAGTCAAATAACACCGTAGTACTGGGATAACAGTTTATAGTTTAGATTAAACCACTGATGTTTATGGTAAAAATTAAAATCACCGTCATATGCATTTAACAGTGCTCAAAAATGAAAGTTGTAGGCAGCAATTGCATTGTTTAACCAATAGGTGGCCATCAAAAATATGCCATTGAATAGGATATATGCCAAGCTAGTGTTTTTCCCCATACTGATAAACTTCCGGTGACCTGTTACTGTGAACTTTTTTTCATTTTATACGATTCATTTTACAGCATTGATGTTGTAATGTCATTAAAATACATTCAGTTAAATAATCTTTGCCATTTATTTAGTTATTATACCCCATTATTTATTATTATACTGAATTATTTAGTATACCCCATAATTCTTCAAAAATGATACATCTAGCAAAAAACATGAAGCTTTATGAGTGAATAACTGAATCATTTATTACAAATGAGACTAAATAAATAAAACTAAATATTGTTTGTCAAATTATAATGTTAAATTTCTACATTTAGCGTTTTTAGCAATAGTAGTAGTAACAGTGAATTTTTCACATTACTGAATATTTTACTATATGTTTATTCAGCTGATTATTACTTAATTTTTTAAAATAAAATTACATGTAAGTTCGGTATGTTTAAATCAAAAGTTTATCGCAGTATTGTTTCTGTAATAAATGGAAAGCAAATTACATTTGTTTCCTCCCCTTTTAGGCTAATCCAAAAAATGGCCCGATCCGTAAATAAAAAACCATAACATGATCCGAACCGTGAGATTGGTGATCCGTTACACCACTAGTCAGTATATTGAGCTTGTTCAGAAGCACTGTGCACTGATGGGTTTACAACCCCGGATGCTTCTTCCTCAAAGCACAGACATATCTGAGGTAACGTCAGTGGGTCAGAATTGACACATCAACGTGCACCCTATACTGACACTGAAGGGAAGAAACCTTTTGAAAAAAGTAATTATTTTTGTTTTGTGTGCACACAATAGTATTCCTATAGCTTATCAAAGCATTCGGTCTGTTTTAAGGATGTTTTCTAGACTTTATTGTAATTGTTGCTCTCTATGGAGATGAAAAAGCTCTCAGATTTGATTAATTCATTAATAGTTCATTCATAGTTCATTTTTAGGTGAACAAACACTTAACCATCTGATGTGCTTCTTTAGTGACAAATGTCTGTATCATCTAGTCCATAATGTGTAAATAGTCTCTGCTTTCATGTGGTCTGAACTGAATGTTGAGTTAATGCGTTGTCCTGTATGGACATGTGCAGGAGGTTGTTCATTCTGTCTTTCAGTAATGGTGAGTCATTGGCAAGGCGTCTGATGTATTGCCAGCATTGGTCATATGAACTTCACCGCCTACACATTCAAGTCATGCCAGTGACGGCCATGTCTAATGTTCATCGCTCCGGCCTTACCAGCATCACTCACTCGTATTAATTTTATCCATGTCTCCTCCAGCCTCTGTTCATTGTTTGAATATTTGTAATTTTGATTTAATCAAAATGAGTTTCATGCTTAGAAATATGTGTTATTGTTCTGTGGTGATTTATGATCAATATTTTGTGGTTTAAAAATTTAATTTGGAAGCTTTTAAATTTCCATCTAGGCATAAACAACGAAGAGCTTATTGTCTTCAGAGATTTAAAGGAACAATTCACCCATAAAAATGAAATTGAATTATGTCACTCGTGTTTGTTGCTTAAAACCCTCTCTGTTTTCAAGAAATATTCACAATAATTTAGTTAGCATATTGCATTAGCATCTGAAACCACCTACTTCAGCATACGTCTGCTTTTTAAGAAGAACTTGCTTCAAACGTATGAAAATTAAGCATTGTTTTACCACTGATAAAAACAAAGGTCATGGTAATTGTAGTTAAACCTTGAAAACTACAAAAAAATTTGCTACACTAGCATAATTTAATCATGATATTTGTTGTAAAAATGGTATTATTCTGCATTTGGTTTAAAATAAATTTCATGGTGGAAGACTCATTTTTTAAATGTTAATCTAAAGCTGTTTTAATGTAAATATACAGTTGAAACAGTCAGTAATATGTTTATTATTAATATTATTATTATTTACAAAAAATAGAATAAATAGTATACATTAGAAAAATCTGCAAATAATTCAGCAAACAGTTTAGCCTTATAAAATTAGCTGTTAATAGCTGTTATAAAGAAATCTAATCAAGATAAAAAATGTCATTTAACCTTTTCCTCACTGTGTAATTTAAAGTCTAATTACAGAGCAGCGAATGAAGATTTTTGAAGATTTTTCTTTTTTATATTTTTCATTTGATTACACTAAATAACAGAGGTTTCTCTTAAAAATGCAAAGATCTATAATGAAACATTCGATTGCTTTCCTTTTTATGCTCATTTAAGAAAAAAATTGTTGTTTAGAAGAAAACCCACAAATATTGACATGTTTAGATATTATTATTATTTTTATTATTATTATTATTATGTGTACATGTCTGTTTAAGCACGCACCCTAAACCCAGCGTGTCCACTTTCGCTTCTAATCGCATGTACAGAATCCCATTGGGAAACCACCACTGTTTATTACTATGGAGTGTGTCTGACAGTCATACTGTACACTGCTACATGAACTGTTTTGAGGATAGCATAGGAGGGGAATCGGCCGCTGTAATTGAAATGAAGGGAATCCTGCCATTTTTTTTAATTTATTTTAAAGTGGGGTTTTTTTGTGCCTAAATAAAATGAAAGCACAGAACAGATTCACATTTAAAAATAAGGGGCATCCCCTGGTGGTTTGGCGGTATGGGTTGCGTATAGAGAGGATCAGCTCTTTGATGTTTATTGCCAACCTTCAAAGAAATTTTAAAAATATGGGAGAAATATAGAAAAACACCTTTATGGGATGATATCAGATAGAATTGTAAAATACAGGAGAATACTGGGAAAAACGGAGGGTTGACAGGTAGGTGTATAGTTTGGAAACGGCGTATTCAGGCATATTACAAGCAAGTGAGTTTAATCAGGGTTGAAACTAAACTCCACTGTAAGCTTAGACTGTTAAAAAAAAGAGGAATGAAGTGTCTCCACTTTCCTTTCACCACAGCCAGACTTCTGTCATCTGACAGAGGTCATCATGCTGCTGTCATCATCCTAAGACTGAGCACTAGTGATAGTGATATAACCGTGGGGTGCAATATCAAAACCTTGCCCAAACGCTCATGTGGTCCTGAGACCACACCCCATTTTGTAGCATCATAAGTAAAGGCAATCATATTGAAAATGTGATCCGCTAAACACACTTTTTTTTTTACAATTTAATTTTGGCCTTTCTGCCTTTATTAGAACAGTAATCAGACAGGAAGTGAAGTGGGAGAGAGAGAGGAAGTAGGGTTGGGAAATTTCCTTGAACCGGGATTCGAATTCAGAACGCCCTAAAGTGCTACCGCACCGTATGTTGGCGCGCTAAACACTAAGCTATCGTGGTCATATTTTGTAATTCAGCATTTTGTTCGCATCCCATTTGTTTACATGGAGAGGGCATGGCTTATCACTTCATACTGCACTGCATTCAGCCAACATGACATGATCTAAATTTTTAGCTCCAGTTTTTCAGTAAAAGTGAAGCACATTTGGCGGTATTTTAAGTTATTGTACACATGAGAATGAATTCAGTTTCTTTTCTGCTTTTTATAAAACCACTCCTCAGATACACACTTCTGAACATGGTGCAAGTAGAAGCTCATTAAGTTGCCTACTATTTGTTTTATAGTACCCTTTTTGTCTACTTTTAGTAATGTAGTAGACATCATTTGATTTAAGTAATCTGACATTGAGTAAACATGACGTATATAAGTGTGAAGTTGGCGTGAGTCAATGGTCTGTACTGGACTCTTGTTGACCCCTGTAGAGGTTGAATGGCAGCAGCTGTTGAGCAGATGTTCCTACCACTCAGTGAGGTCACTTACCACACACACACACACACACACACACACACACACACACAAACACAATGCAACTCAATACGGCAGCAGCTCTGTGATCTGTTTCTGCTCTCTGGGCACCAGTGTCATGGTGAAGTGTGTGTATATGTTAGTTGATGACTAATATTCTGGGGCGAAAACAATCATGCAGTAGTATTCCTATAGTATTCATATTTAATTGAGTAGTGGTTCTTGCTTTATGATTTTTCTCTTTTTTTTCCATCTACAACTATTTTTTTTATGAATGCTGACTTTTTATGTTAAAACTCTGATGTAAGCTTCAACTTCATTTGCTTTAATTTCACCTTTTATTTAATAAGCCCGTTAGGTAATTTAGGATTTCAGTGTGAGCTCTTGACTTTTAAGAGTGTTTAGAGGCCTCTGGCTTTGATTCAGCTCTGCAATCATGAGGTCATTAGTAGATAGACCTGGGTTAATTACTGCGGCTTTAATTCATTCCTCATGAGGCTATGATACACACACACAACAGACACACACTCATACACACCGTGACTGGTAGGATTTCCATCTTAAATTAACTGCCTTTTCCTTTTTAAACTTGCCCATCTGTTACATCTTTAACCTAACATGGCTAATGGGAAAAACATTTGGGCTGATTGATCGTTCAACGCTAAATTGATTGTGTAGACTTCCCTTTTGACAGCTGTGGTTTAAATAAGAACTTTATAAGCTAAATTGTGGACAATTTAATTGTTTGACTTTCAATCTACTTAAGTTTGTAAAAAAAATGAATAAATAAGTAAACCTAATGGATTTGCTATAAAAGAATTGTGTGGAACGTAGCATTATTTACAGTGTAGGTTTACTTTTATTAAACTAATATTTTTGATTAGCATTAATTAACTGTTATATATTTTTTATTTGCTTGTCTGTTTATGAGTCTTTCTTTCTGTCTCTATAGCTGTAAAGAACTGCAGTGCTTCAGAGTTGCATACACCTCACATTTACGGTAAGACCACCACTCTTCATCATTTTTAGAGGTATAGAATCATGATAATAAAAATAGTGTCTGTCATTTGCTGTAAAATGTTTACCAGCTTGTTGTGTATCCAAAACTGTCCCATCAGTAGCCGATCCTTCATCACCACCAAACCCAAAGTGTTAATCTTTTATAGGACATCATTTTGCATTAGTCTTATTAAAGGGACTGTTATTAAAGAGCCCCTGTTTTGCATTATAAAATGTTATATTTTGGTGTGGGGGGTCTCCAACAACAGGCTGATGTGCATTCAAGGTCAAACAACACTTTCTTATAATTTATTATGTCTTATAATATGCATTTTTTTATACCTAATCATCTCAACGACTCCCATATGATTTGTTCAGCGATTCATTTATTCTCAAACCCCTTCTTTGTGTGAGGCTAACCTGCACTGATTGGTCCGATGACCCAGTCTGTTGTGATTGGTCGACTGCGTTCAGAGCGAGATAGAGAGAATCTTCCAACAATAGTACAGAGGATATGTGTGAGCCTAATGCAGGAATGAAGTAAAGCACTGCAAGTAAACACCAGCATATTACTCTACTCTTAACCCTAACCCCAAGTAATAACAACAACACGCATTCAGTATTAATCCACACTGGCAAAAATTGAACTATTTTGAAAATTGACTGCCCTGCGCGTGTGTAGGAACTGCTGATGTTGGCCTTAGCAAAGGCAAACAGCAGAAGATCGCAAGTTCAGAAACGCATTTAAATTGCTAAAGGAAGAAGCACACATCATGTTTTTAATGTGGTTTTAGACACAATATGTGCATGGCCCATACAGATTTAACCTGAGAGAAGCAGTACAAGCACTAATCTACTGTATAATAGATGAATGATTACAAGCCGCGTGAAGCGATTATAAGTTACAACACAAAATTAAATACATATTTTGTAAACTACACAAAATGAGGCAACAATTTTAATTACGCTTACAAGTAGAGGTGTGAACCTACACTGGTCTCACGCTTCAGTAACGATTATCATGCCATCAATTTGGTTCAATTCGATATCATGGTAAGTAAACAAATATAAATATCCCGCTAGCTTTCTGAGTCCTGTCTAGTGAGTTCATTCTTACACCCCTATGATTGGTCATGCGCTCAACAGAAAGGGCAATGATTGGCTCTAACGCTCTGGCGCTGTTCACCGATGATAAACACTGATAAACGGCAGCGGCGATTACAGCTGATCGATAATAGATGAGGTGGAGAAAAATCTGCAGACCCACGCTTGTGTCTGTATCCAGAAGTATCGCTGTAACAGCAGAGAGGAGAAGAAAAGTCATGCCAGCAGGTCAAATGTGCCACTGTGAGAGAGAGAAAGAGAGAGAGAAAGTGAAAAGGAGTACTCTCAATCGCAGTGAAATAGGGGCTTCTGCTGTAAGTGTCAGTGAAAGACTGTCCAACACAAACGCAGTGAAATTGTGCACAGCTTTTGCAATTTAAGTAGTTTGAGCGTTGTAAATTCTTGCGCTCTCCTACCTTGCCCTAGTAAGCCAGGGAGACGTAGTGCAAATGAGATGAATGACGTCAGTAAATAATAAATGGTTATGATTATTACTGAACCAATACTGAATTGTCCGCGTCTGCATTGCGGTGCACTGAAAAAACAATTAATTTTGACACCCCCACTTGCATGTTATGATCCGGAGAAAGAAACTGGTCCATATGAACTGTAACAGTTACTGATAAAGTCCATGTCGTAGTCTGACATTCTCAAACTTAATAGTCTCTGCTGCACCTTCCTCTATAGTAAACGGCTGCTTTGCAGCGTAGGTTATTGTATCAATCATCAGAAAAATGTCAGCAATAAGCACCGCAGATGGTTGGCTATACTCTGGTATTGTTGTGAAAATTAACTTTAGCCATTTATTCCCCACAGCCAAATCTCCATCTGTCAGTGATCATCATCTTCGTGTCATAATCAGTCTCGTGATTCTCCGCTAGTGTCTGAAGGGAAAGGCACGTTCATGTCTTACCTGATCTGGCACTTCTTATTTGGTGATGTACCGTATCGACATCAACGTTTTCAGAAAAAAGATCCGAACCCTACACAATTAATTTATCTGACTCTGAGTCAACTATTTTGCCAAAGAATCAATAGTTTTAAACAATGTACACTTTCAGATTAAAACCTCAGCTGGATGTTTCATTCACTTAGCGCTGTTACACACTGCATGGAAGCTCATTTTCAAAAACCCATAATATGGGGCTCTTTAATGTCAACATCAATGATTAACGTAAACTAAAAAACTGTAAACGCAGTACATTTTGAAGCAAAATGTTCTGTCAGTCTAAAACATTTGAAAGCTTAAAATTAAAAGCTTGCATTATTGTGTAGCAGTGTTATTGCTAAAAAAATGCGAAACTGTATGGCCTTTGGTGATTCAAATTAAGACAAGATGAATTATTTCAAATATTAGATTCAAAAATTTTGTCTTAAAAACCGAGACTCAAAGTTGAATTTCTAAAACAGGGCTCGAAATTGCGATCGTGTTGGTCGTATATGACCCCCAAATTTTATCTATGCGACCTCAAAATATATTTGTAAGCATTTGTGCTATTGCATAAAATTGGTGCCGTGCCGGTTTTCACTGCAAAATGTTCACCGCACACGCAGATTTATGAGACGTTCACGCAGAACGCATCTTAGCACCTGAGATGCTAAACGCAGCGGTCATGAATAGTTTAAAACAGTTGTCATGTCAACTTGCTGCAGTAAACAAAGCGCGCAATGCTTGCCCCGCCTTCAAGCTCTTTTGATTGGTCCACTGCTCTAGCACTGAATGCGAACGGATTGGTTAATATCAGCTGTTAATCACTCAGTCCATGCCTTTTTTTAGATGACAGGGAGAGCTACAACCGCGAACATGTAAAGCACTGAAGATGAGAGAATGAAAACAACACTGACAGATTATGTTTTAGAAATCATATAAGTTTCAAATAATGGTACATCTGATCAGTGATTATGTGCTGAATGTCAATACAGCATTTACACTTTTCGAAGAGTGGATAAAAGACTTCCGGTGTTTAAAGTTTGCTATGAAAATGACTAAAGCATTCATTGTAAAGTCGGTGTGACGGAGTTTGTAGGTAACAGCGTTCGCCAAATCTACACCTTTTAAGTGCGAGAGGTTCTGTTTAATCCTTCATTTAATCATCAGGATGCTGTCAGCAGTGCAGGTGGCAGCTAAATGTAAAACGTAACACCACGTACACCATCACAATAGGACTTGCATTCATTAAGATACAACTAATATTGCAGCTCATGAAAAAAAACGGTATTGCTATTAAAGATGACGCATGCAAATAATAAGGAATTATGTCAATATTATCTCTGCAATATTACACAGCACCAGTGGGAACAGCAAATTCATTATTGTTAACAAAGTTTCATTTCTGTCAAGCAGTGTGCGCAGGGCCGGTGGGCGCATGCAGATGTCGTTTTGTTTGATTGTTTAGTGTTGATTTCAAATACAGTAAATTGGTTAATATAACATTAAAACTTATAGTAACAGTGCTTATAATTGGTGGGTGTGACAATTTTGGCTGGTGCTCCTAACTTTTTAAAGTTGGGAGCACCAATGCTACAAAGCAAAAAGGTTAATTTCCAGCCCTGTAAAATCATTCATTTTAAAATAAAATAAATAACCTAAGTCAAACAAAATGACTAAAAACTAAACCAAAATCTAAAAAAATAAAAGCTAATTCAAAATATGAATGAAATTATTATTGTATAAAAAAGCAGAAGCTAATTAAAATAGAAATAAACTGATTTTACGATGTGTCAAGAATCTTTAACTACCTTGGCCTCTTTTAGGAGTTTTTAAGTGAACTTGAAACTTTGTGGAGTGCTGGGTTTAGCAGCGTAATCATATTTCAGTCTCCCGCAGTTGCAGTAGTAACACTGGTGACAGACAAGCATGAGTCACGTCTGGAACTGAGTCTACATGACTTTTCTGACTCTGTGGGCGAATCTAGCTGCTACAGTCTCTCTGATATGTGGCAGTGGAAATAAAAGGTTGTGTTAATTGACTGGCTGCATGTGTGCGTTTCATTACCGCAGGAACCTGAGTGAGTCATCAGCCATTAGCTTGGTCTGCTATAACCTGAATGCAGCATGTGATCCTGTTGAAGGTCTATAAATGGAAGATTCTCTGGAGTGTTTTGATTTCGAGGGCTCTCTAGAGCCACCGGTGGGCTGCTACAGACACTGCTTGTGGTTCTGTGTGCTTCGGAAACATTGAATGCAGATGTCTGTGTGGGAACATGCAAAGAAAGTGGTTGTGATAGTATATTCATGATCAAACTGTGTTGTTTTGCACTTAGCAACGGGCTGAAGTTCCACTCAGGTCTCCAGTCTGAAATTGAGGTTGTTTTTGTTGTAATGTGTGTTACTTCTGAAACACTATAGCAAAAGCAAGATTGCATGTTATGCACATCCAAGCTCATGGCACTGGTTGAGGCCAGTGCTTACAGGGTTACCGTGAGTTCTTGCATAAAAAAGGTCTTAAATGCACTGAAATATTATCTTGTAGGTTATAAACCGGTTCTAATTTTCCTATGTCCATGTAAAGCTACCCAAACGGGCCAACACCCACCAATTACAGATAATCTATCTCAATAAATCTTTTTAACAAAACTCTATTTATAACCAATATTTTAATAGCTCATTTAATAACTTTTATTGGATTAATTCTGAAGCTATTTTGAAAAGTGTATACAAATAGTATTTGCTAGTTGTGGAGCATTTATTTTTTATTTTTTGGCAAAAAACGCCAGCAAATAAAGAAACAATCTTCATCAATTTGACAGCACACCTCTTGCAAATTCTCACAACACAAACAACTGAAGAAACGCGCAGCAATTGGTCACAACATAAACAACTAAAGAAACATGCAGCAATTAGTCACGACACTTAAAAATATCCACGTAACACAACGGAAATGTTTCATGGAGACCTAAAACCATGACAGACCCTGCTGAGATATGGATGTGTTATGCCGTGACTGTTGCTCAGTGAAGTGATTGGTAATCTTTGAAAGGTGAGTTGTTTTGATTTATTTTAATATCCTGATAACACGACATACTAACATCCATATCTCAGCAGGGTCCGTCATGGTGTTTCGTCCCCTTGAAACGTTTTCATTGTGTTGCGTGGATATTCCCAAGTGTCGTGAGTAATTGCTGTGCGTTTCTTAAGTTGTTTGTATTGTGACCAATTGCTGCGTGTCTCTTAAGATGTTTGTGATTTGACCAGAGCTTAATATGTGCCGGAACACACCGGATCCGGCACCTCTGAAATCTGATCCAGCACCTGATTTTACCAATCCCCCTCTTCAACCGCCTTTCTCCCCAATCCGCTGTCCACTTTCACTTTCTTCCCCAACTCTCCAACCCTCTTCACTTTTGTCCACGACAACCTTCCGTTCTTCACTTTTTTGTTTTTTGTAATTGCTTGTGCTTTCTTAAATTGCAGTGCGTTAAGCTCTCTCGGCCACCATAGAATACCACTGTTTTTGATTGTAAATTTGTATTTGTCATTACTTTTTGTATTAAATGTGCTTTGGTCATTTGTTTATTGTAAGTGTCTATACCTCTATATAAATGTCTATTCATGAGTTTTTTTGGTCACACCGCTAACACCAAGTTGAATCAGATATTGTGTTATGATTATTGCGTAACCAACAATGCATTTCCCCATCTATATTTATCAGCCTCAAAGCTCTACAGCTTGTCCCTGACATACTTGGTCCAATCACACTGCTAAATGCCAGTGTTCAGTGTGCCAACTGTGTACAAGGGCATCCTCCATCCCCACAGAGACTCATGCAGAATAAAGATTCACTGAATGCTGTCAAATACACGGTCTTTAAGCAATCATTCTGCTTCTGTGTCTTGCTTGTGGGTTCCATGCTGGTTGTGAAGTAGTGGAGAGACTTTCTTATTTTATTTAAGCAAAGCAGCTTGGACCTTTTGATTGAAACGCTATCCTCTGTTTCTCTCTCTCTCTAGCTCTCTCTCTCTCTCTCTCTAGCTCTCTCTCTCTCTCTCTTTCTGTGTGTGTGTGTGTGTGTGTGTGTGTGTGTGTGTGTGTGTGTGTGTGTGTGTGTGTGTGTGTGTGTGTGTGTGTGTGTGTGTGTGTGTGTGTGTGTGTGTGTGTGTGTGTGTGTGTGTGTGTGTGTGTGTGTGTGTGTGTGTGTGTGTGTGTGTGTGTGTGTGTGTGTGTGTGCGCGCGCGTGTGTGTGTATTTGTGTGTGTGTGTGTGTGTGTGTTTAAACTTAACAAAAGACACAATGTAATAGTCAGTGTTTCATTAATTTGCAGTTTGTATAGTGCTGAAGAGTAAAGACAGCTGACGGAGAGTTCAGGTGTTAACAGCGTGTGCGTGTGTGTGTGTGTGAAAGAAAGAGAGGCCGGGGGACAGAATCCAGATACCTTTTTAATAACAGAAATTCAAACAGGAAAACGAGCTGTACAGATGGATTACATGTGTACTAGATTACCAAAACTATTCAGTTGAATTTGTATCATTATTGTCACACATCAGAGTTGTAATGGGGCAAAATAACATTCTTTTTCAGAGTTGGAGAGTTTTGTGTATTGAGTGCGGTATACAGCAGGCCATGTTGAAGATTTGTACTCTCTTTATTTGCAGCACCCTTTTCGGCAAGGTGTTTCTGTTATGAATAAAGATGTCATTTGTAATTTTGTTTATTGTTCTGTCAACTATTAAATTCATACAACTATTAAATTCAATTAAATACTTTATTCATAATGAGTAAATTCAAAAGTTAGAGCCAATATATGCATTGGATGCAAAATGTATGTTAAATAAATGCTGTACTTTTGTTACATTGTTATCAGCAAATTACCATACTTTTTATTTACCATACTTTTTATTCAACAAATGTACATTAATCAAAAGTGACTTTGGAATATGTCGACTTTTATAAAGTTACAAAAACATCAAATTTGATATCTTATAAATATTATTATTTTAAATGAAATCTATGCCACAGCCATATCACCCTGCAGACCAAGAGCGGTTACTCACTGAAGCTAAGCAGGCCTGAGCCTGGTTAGTCCCTGGATGGTAGACCACATGGGAAAACCAGGTTGCTGTTGAAAGTGGTGTTAGCAAGGCTAGAGGGGGGTGCTCATTTTGGGGCCTGTGTGAGTCCTGATGCCCCAGTACAGTAAAGGGGACACTATTCTGTCAGTGAGTGCCGTCTTTCGGATAAGAGGTTAAACCAAAGTCCTGACTCTTTGTGATCATTAAAAACCCTATGGCACTTCTCGTAAAGAGTAGGGGTGTAACCCTGGTGTCCTGGCCAAATTCCCACTATCGGCTCTCACCCAGTCATCCCCATCTACCGAATTGTCTTTATCACTGTCTCTCCATATCACCTGTAGCTGGTGTGTGGTGAGCGCACTGACGCCATTGTCCTGTTTCTGCCATCGCATCTTCCAAGAGGAAGCTGCCCACTAGTGGTGGAGTAGGGAGGCCCCTCAGGGCTTTGGGTATATGGCCGTACACGATAAAAAAATTCTGAAACAAAGACACTGGAGTAATGATTGATAAAAACTCAGTATATTCAAATGCAAAACTGTCATTTTAAACTGTACACTGAAAAAAAAAACATTTATGGTAAAAAAAGCTGCAATGATTATAAAAGTACATAATCATCATCAGACAATTAACTCTTGCATTAAAATATTACAAACTGTGTTGAAAAAAATGGAAACAAAAATTCTGGGAAAGTGAATTTATGGGTATTCACCATATACTGTACGTTAACGAAACTAACTAAAGGATTATTTTTTTAAATGGCCATTCAAATCATGACCATTTTTTTAATGGTGTAATAATATTTAGCATATTTTTTTACTTATGTTACATTTCTGTTTTACTATATTACTTTTTTTTTGCTGTTTTCTAAATTATTATATTGCATAGAGGAAACTAACTGCCGACAATCAAAAATGAATGTATTTGTAGTAGCTAACAATTAAAGTCTTCAACATCATTTTTGTGAATGTTGATTTAAATCCTAAAATCTCTAACACTCTGTCTGTTTCTCACAGGTGCAGAGTTGTTGGTGACCCTTAAGCCGTCAGGATGGTGGCGCTGTCTCTGAAGATCTGTGTGAGGCAGTGTAATGTGGTGAAGACCATGCAGTTTGAGCCCTCAACGGCTGTATATGACGCATGCCGGGTCATCAGAGAGAGGGTTCCAGAAGCCCAGACAGGACAAGGTTTGTCATCACGCCTTCTTGATTCTATACTATGTTCAGACTGAGAATAAATCTCAGTTTGTTTGACTAAGTTCTAATGGCGTGTGTTGTTTTTCCTCAGCTTCAGAATATGGGCTGTTTCTGTCAGACGAAGACCCTAGGAAAGGCATCTGGCTAGAAGGAGGCCGGACGCTGGATTATTACATGCTGAGAAATGGAGTAAGCGCTTTGATCATTTGTTTTACAAGCTCCTGTCAAATGTTCTGTGTCATGGCTTTGCACTGTTGTCTTTGTTTTGTGACATGTTTTTTAATTTTTTATGCTGAAGGGTGAGAAGTGGTCTAAACTGCTTTTGATTTTATTTTATAATCAGTGCGTGCGTGCACACGTTGTCACTTATCCGAGACAAACTACACTGATGTTATTAAAGACATTTGTCATTGCCGCATGTGGTTTATGTTTGTGTTTGTTAAGTCCCTGTGCTCGCGTGTGCGTGTGCGAGTGCGTGTGCGTGTGTGTGTGTGTGTGTGCGTGTGTGTACGTGTGTGTGTGTGTGTGCGCGCGCGCGTGTGTGTGTGCGTGTGTGTGTGTGTGTGTGTGTGCGCGCGTATAAAAAGAAAAGCAGATGCTTGTTTTCAGGAAGGTATAAAAAAGTGTGTGGTATAAATTAAGAAGCGTTAAATGATGTTTTCATCAGGAGCTTTTTTTTTTTTGTTTATCAAAAAACCTCTTCTTCATTCATTCATATACTGTGTGTGTGTGTGTGTGTGTGTGTGTGTGTGTGTGTGTGTGTGTGTGTGTGTGTGTGTGTGTGTGTGTGTGTATATGTATATGTGTGTGTGTATGTATATATGTATATGTATATGTATGTATATATATATATATATATATATATATATACACTTCCGTGTTTCCGTAAACCATCGTTTGCCAACTAAAGCTGCAAGTTGCGTCGTTACCAACATAGTTCATTGATTTGCCGTTTCTCAAACCTGTCGTTTCAATGAACATTCGCAAACTGCATCACAAACTTGTACTCTTGTTACTACACCTCTGGAGCTGTAGTTAAAAGCATAGTTCCTGGTTGTATTTCATTCCCAGTCATCCTCCCTATGCCCTGTTCCTTTAGAACGCTCCAACTATTAAACTTGGAAAGATTTTTTTTTTAAACCATCAAAGAGGTGGTCCACATCATATTTTAAACTTTAGTTGATGTGTAATGTAGCTGTGTGAGCATAAACAGCCTCTCTGTGTCACGTTAGCAAGATCAAACAGGAACAAAAAGTTGCGGATCCAAGTGCAGTTTTAATTAAAATGTGCATCAAACAGAAAAACAAGGTGTTCCAAGTGCAAAGTACAAATAAACAATAAAACAAGAACACAAAACAGAGACAGGGCTCAGGAATCAGAAACTCTAAACTTACAGGCACACGGAGACAAGATGGACAAACGACGCAGTGACAAACAGAGGTGAAATGGTTGTATAAATAGTCCAGGAAATTAACAGGAAACAGGAACAGCTGTGAGCCAATCAGTGTACGTGGACCGGGTGTAATGCGCATGGTATGTATGAACTTGTAGTCTTTTGGGCGCTGTAGTCAATTCTCAAAGTCTGTGAACTACAGCGCCCTCCGGTGGTCACTGACCATCATGACACTCTGAATTTAAAATGTTCAAAGTTCAATGCAAAATGAGACCTTGGTTTTTACAGAGTTAGCTTGGCAAAGACTACAATGAATTTTGGAGACTACAAAAAATACTTCCCGGCCTGTGAGATCACAAACGTTCTTTTACCGCGCACACACAATGCGCAGCTAAGGGGGGTGGCCAGAAACGCAGGCGCAGAAACATTACAGCAGAGGGAGAAAATGCCATCCTGCTATTTCCACAGAGCTTCTCTGTTTTTGTATTTGGGCTTCCAAAGGACACAACACAAAGACAGAAGTGCTTACAGTTCAATATTAATTATGTTCTAGAGAATTATAAAATACATAGCAAGCATGATTTGACAAAACACAGCTTCCAGAATCTCTCCCTGTTCAGTGCTGGATTTGGTTAAAATCTGCTCAAAGATGGAGCAGCTCCAACAAGCAGACACTGTGAACTCTGAGCCACGACCTGTAAGTGTTTTTATTTGTTAGAATTGATTATGACATGTACAGTGTCTAGCCTTAATGGTATGTTGTAGCAAAGATGTAAACAACGGGAAATGATGTTCGCTACCGCTGACGATGTGACTACAAATTCATATTTATCAGTCAAACTGCTATATACACACACACACACACACACACACACACACACACACTTCACCAGCACGTGCAGCTTCTCTTTATGTGTGTGTGACGGCAGTGTTTCTCTATAGGCAGCTTTTCCATGCCTTTTACATCTCAGATAATGAAGTCATAAAAGATATGTAAACGATTCATGTTACTTGCATAGCCATATTGGAATATACGTGAAAGACGGCGTATAACACGTTGAGTTAAAAAATACAGGAGAGCTCGCCAAACTCGTGTAGAAGCAGAAAAATCAATCAAGGCTCACACATGTCGCATCCCACATCTTGTGCTTTTTTCTTCTGTCAGCAGCGTCACTACAGAAAATACTTAAATCTGGGCATCAGAGAAAAAGAAAAATCGATCCCGCACACATGCGCTTCTCGTGTTACACGCATCTACAGATAGTTAATAGTATACACATGTACACACATAAACACACGCACACACAAACACACACACAATGGCAAACTCTCGTAAAGGAGACACACACCCCTGGTGGGGGTTCTCTATAAATATAATGATTTTTATACTGTGCAAAAAGTGTATTTCTGTCCCCCTACGTAAACTAAACTCTCACAGGTTGCAATCTGCATTTTTACATTTTCAAAATGATTTATTCTGTATGATTTATGAGCATCCATTTAGATGCATTCAAGTGCAAGTCCCCACTGGGATAAAAACAAACACTTAATACACAAACACGCTTCACTGAAAATTATTTTGGAAAGATACTGTATACTCTGAAACTGGATATTAAATACATTTACTTTTCAACTCCTTACAAAACTTCTTTCATTTTTACTGTAATGGAATGATGTGTACTTTTTATGAAGCAAGTAAACTTGAGTTGAACTGAATATAAAACCATGTGTACACATACTTGCGTATATATAGTTTACAGGGTCTCTACATAGGTGTAATGTATTTTATACTGTATATTTATTATATGGCCTTACTCTACCTTTACCAAAATTAAGTATGATTTAAGTGCTTTGAATTACGAGGACAGCTAGCTATTGTGCTGTGTTATGAAAAAAACACCATAATAGATTTCAATAAGGTCATATCTGTGTCATCATACAATTTTGTGTCCTCATAAAAGCTCACACAAACACGTCCAGCTTTCAAAAGCATGTCTTGCTAGAATAATTTTTGTGTTTGCATGGAAAAGTTTTACATTTTTCTGTTTTGCTCTTGTTTATCTCTCAAAAGCATTCACATTCACACCGTGTACAGGGAAGCAACCAATTTATATTCTTCAAACATTCTGGTTAGGGCTCGTTTTTGCAGTTTTACAGCTGATTGAACACAAACGGCTTTGTTTTTGTAGATAACTTCAGCCGTGGTTGTTGCCGTCTAGTTTCTGAAGTCTTCCTTTGAATTTTGGTTTGAAGAATGATCAGCATTTAAAATGCAACCTGCATTAATGATGTTATCATATAATTTGCATAATGAATTGCTGTGGGCTTGCTTCTTAAATCTATTTGTATGGTAATTTTGAATGTCTTCATTGCATACGTTTAAACAGTTCTAGCCATTTGTTTCTGTTATTCTGCACAGATTTGATTCTTGAGAACAGAAGCACCTTACACGTGCCCTTTTTAAACTATTTTGTACAAAATAGAAGCAAATTCACATCATATTTGCCAACACACACTAGTGTGATAAACAGTGATAGTTATTTATATGAGAGATTTATAAGCTATTTTAAAGGCTGGTTGTTTTTGACAAGCTGGAAAAAATTCATTTACGTTCAATAGAAGAAAGAAACTGATTTGGAAAGTGGAGGATGGGTAAATCATGTTAGAATTATTTATTTTTTATTTTTTGAACTATCCCTTTAAAGGAACACTCAAAAATTATCAAAATACTTTTTTTGAAAACTTTAACCAAATGCTAATGGTCAACTTTGTTTCAGTTTATTATACTAAGCTAAGCTAAGCTAAAAGTGAGCCCACCAGAACAAAAAAATCAGCTGAATGGATTTAAAATTGGTTCAAGTCAACTGTTAAACTCTAAGATATTTGTAAAATGAGCCCTTTTAAAATAAAAAAAATAATAATAAAACATGTAGCGTTCATTTAACTAATATTAACATTTTTGGAAGATAAATTGTAACAGAATTGACAGAATTTGCCTCAGACTGAATCCAAAACTACTCTCAGAAAATGTCAGTGTAGTCCCTGTTTCTCTGTCTCTCAGGACATATTGGAGTATAAGAAAAAACAGAGGCCTCAGAAGGTAAAAATGCTGGACGGAGCTGTTAAGACCATCATGGTGGACGATTCTAAAACTGTTGGCGAGCTGCTGGTCACCATCTGCAGCAGAATAGGTCAGTGATGCTCTGTCACTTTAGCCCTTTAGGTGCACACAAGAGAAATATGTTTTTACAAATATACTACTGTCCAAAGATGTACATTTTTATTTTTTCATTTTTCCAATTATGCATCGGACTTTCCAAAAGTGTCAAAGAGATTCATAATTTCATGAAAACAATTATATTTCTAATACATTTTATTTTTTCTAATCCTTAAATAATTACATTTTCAACAATCAAATTCTCAATAATTCATTTTTCAGATTTTAATAATAGTAAATGCAGCAAATCAGCATATTATAATGAATTCTGAATTAATCCTGATCCCAGGAGTAAATGACTTTATTTTTATTTATTTATTTATTTTTTAGAGATATTGAATTCAGGTTTTTGTGACATTAATAGCCCCCAAAACAAGAAAAAAGAGTGACTTTAGATTGTGGTTTTGATTCTGCTGTTATATACACATACACAAACCATAGTGCATAACCATAGCTTTATAACCATGTCTCCTTTGTGGTTCCAGGAATCACCAACTATGAAGAGTACTCTCTCATTCAGGAAACTGTGGAGGAGAAGAAAGATGAAGGGACAGGCACACTGAAGAAAGACAGAACTCTGCTAAGAGAGGAGAGGAAGATGGAGAAGCTCAAAGCCAAACTGCACACAGATGATGACTGTAGGTAACAACACAGCCACTGTACAGTAAACAGATTGACATGCTGAACTAAACTTTACACTTACTAACAAACTTACTCAGAGTTGTTTCATCTTTTTTTCTCTTAGTAATTTTTTCATTTTGTTTTGTCTCCCTCTGCATCTTTGTCCATACATTTACCGATCAAAAGTGTGGGGTGTAAAATTCGTTTATTTTAAGAAATCTATATTTAATGATTTGTTAAGAACAAACTTTCATTGAATTAATTAATTAATCAAACTAGCTGCCAGCTGAGATGTTTATAATGCAAAACAATGTTATATATGTATACATCTTTACAGGGTCGAAATATCAATTGAAAATTCAGTGTTTGGGTAAAGTGGTAATGTTTGTCAACTGATGCCTTATGTTCTAAAGTTTATATACGAAAAAATATTGTAATTTTAGAATTTTTTTAAAACCAATAATGACTGCTGGTTAAAATAGCTAATATTTTAGTTATTTAGTTAAAAAATTGAATTATTTAACCAAATATTGATTTCCTAACTTGGCTAATTATTTGACCAGTATTGTATTTTTCAAGAAAAAAACCCTTAATTTTGACATTTTTTTCTGAAAACATGACTATATTTGGCTTGTCTAGAAAATGCTTTTTATTTTATGATATATATATATATATATATATATATATATATATATATATATATATATATATTAAGGGTGGAGCCGAACCCGAATACGGTATTCGGAAAGGCACGAATAGCGTGTTTTTACGAATACTTGATTCGAACAAATACTTGAAAAATTATTTGTATTCGGGAGCAAGAAAAACACTATATCAAAAAGCAGCGTTTCCTCATGAGACCACAGTGCATGCCCGCGTGAGAGAGAGAGAGAGAGAGAGAGGCAAAACGCGCCAAAGCCCGAAACTGAAAGCGAGACGTGACTTTAAGGGGCTGTTTCATATGGATTTATTAATCATTCTTACTGTTCAGTGATCGCAAACTGCCGTAGTTTATTAAAGACGCAAACTCCTCACTGCACGTCAGCTGTGCGCCTTCAGCAAACCTCCTCATCCCTGCAGCACGAGACCTTTATGATTGTTTATGCGCGCCAAAAGTGGCGGATCTGTCCGGTGAAATATCTGACTGCGTGTCACCGCATCCCTAAGGACTGTTTGGCGAAATATTTGACTGCATGTCACTGCATAACAAACGACTTGAAAGGATATAACTAGAGAAATCTCCACTGTGCTACTGGATGAGAGCGTATGGCAAGCCGTTTTAGCATTTAAACCTTGTTCAGACTATCCATAAATATATTTAGATAATCTCTAATTATATTTTGACTAGTCATAATTATAATTCGACTAGTCAGATTGGAAATATCTGCAAATATATTATGATAGACTAGTCATATTCCTCCATTGACTTCCATTGAAAAATATTTGCAGATATCTCTAAATAAGTTGACTAGTCACAATTGTAATTAGATATATCTCCAAATGAATTTTGACTTGTCAAAAATCCAATTTAAGATATCTACAACTGTAATTAGACTTTTAGTAAATTAATTAGAGATATTTTCAAATATATTTGTAAATATCAAATATGATGAATTAAAGATATCTCTAAATGTATTATGACTAGTAAAAACTCAGAGATATCAATTACAATTGTTACTAGTCAAAATTCATCTGATTTCGTACTAGTACAATTGTAATTGCAGATATGTCTAATTGTCATTCTGAGTAGTGGAATTATAATAATGACTAGTCAAAATATAATTAGAGATATCTCTAATATATTGATGGAGTCAGAACAAAGATTTAAATGCTAAAATGCTTCTCACTGAACAGAGCACCGCGCAACCTTCTATGTAATGTATTATCACATGCACTAAAAGCATCCTAAAAGCATCAACACAGCCACATTCTGCCCCAGCAAGTCAGTTTCAAATAAAAAAAAACAAACAAACAAACTTTGTGTCTTTTTTTGTGGCTGGCAATGATAATAGCAGGGCTGTATCTTTTAGTATTATATAGAATACTTTTGTTCTGCCAGATCTCCCAGGCAGGGTTTTATTTAGATTTATTTAGTTAATATTAGTTTTTGGAATTCTGTCCATTGGAAAGAAGTTCTTTCAGAAGAAGAACAGTTTTTTGAAGTATTATTTGTTTTTAATCTGTCTATTTAGTGTCCTTCAACAAGAACGGTGGTGGTGGGGTTCATAATATTCACAATGGTATTTTATTAGTTGTTGGTTTAACCATGGATGAGATAATGGCTTCTATGTTATTTTCTTTTCAATGACATTTCTTATCACATGTTCAAAAACAACAGCCAATATTGCATATCTATAATTTATATAATGGGTATAATTAAACAATACTTTCACTATAACGTAAATTAGAAGTGTAATAGAAAATATATATTTTTGCGCCATTTTGAATTTTACTCGAATACAAATACAAATACAAATACTTTTCCCCCCTCAACAAATACAAATACAAATACAAATACCGGCTGCTCCGCACATCCCTAATATATATATATATATATATATATAAATATTTTTTTTTTTTTTTTTTTTTTTTGACAAGAAACAAGACAAAATCAAATTAAGAAATGCAGTCTCAAAACTCAGCCAAAGCTAAATACAGATAAAATTAACATGTACAAATCCTTATTTTTTTTCCATTGCTATATAAATATAAGTGTATAATTACATTAAAACTATATAAACTGTAATAATACTCCACAATGAAGTCAAAATATAAATATATTTATAAAACACATTAATATTCATTAAACGTGTACACATAAACTGTAAAAAGTGATTACTTTCTTAAAGCGAGGAAACCAATTGCCTTAAAAGCAACAAGTTGACTTTACAAAAATAAACCCATTGTAACTTGAAACTGTAAGCTGACTTAATTTATATAATTATGCTTATTATACTCACTTTTTTAAAGTCAATTAATCCTTTTTTACAGTGTTAGACTATTTTAGCATGTCTGTTTTCAAATATATACTGCAATTATTACAATATTACATATTACATATTTGGTGCTTCAGTAAGTCTAAAAAATCTACAGCCTGTATTGTATTTAGAAGACAAGCTGGAGTCTGGATTTTAGTTACTGTCTTTTGCTAGATGCAGAAAAGCTGTAAAAAACGAACTAATTTAATAAAGATGTATTAAAAAAATTATTAGTTTACTTTTATCTTAAAGCAAATGAATGTAATTTGTGTAATAATAAAAATTAAGTCAACTTAACAGTTCCAAGTTACAAAGGGTTTACTTGCACTATTTTTGTAAAGTCAACTTGTTTCTTTTAAAGCAATTGGTTTAACAAAGTAACTAATCGCTTTTTACAGTGTAGATCTCACCTACATTTAAAAAAATATATTTCTTGCTTGTTCAAACTACTTATTTAAAATAAGCTGAAACAACACAATTCATGATATTTCATTGGGACAACTTAATTTTATTATGTTTAATCCACATAAATTTGTTGAAAGTGTTAAGTTAACTTAATCAATTTGTGTTGTAGCAACATAAATTAATTGTGTGGAACCCTGCAATTTTTACGCTATAAAACTGTAGGTTAACTCTGTTTATATATAATAACTTCTATTTGATTGTAACTTTAACTTGATTTGATTGTAATGCAAAAAAATTATCAAACTGTATCAATCAAAACAATATATCAAGTGTATGTTTTCTGAGCTTAAGCAACTTTCAAGAACATTAATAGCTCTTTTGAACCCCAGACTTATTTTGCTATACAAGTAAGCTTTTGTGCATAAACTGGTTGTTTTTGTTTTTCTCTTTTTCACAGTGAATTGGTTGGATCATGGCCGTACATTTAGGGAACAGGGAGTCGAGGAAAGTGAAACATTACTTTTGAGACGAAAGTTCTTCTACTCCGATCAAAACGTGGACTCGCGAGATCCTGTGCAGCTCAATCTGCTCTACGTGCAGGTCAAACTTTCCTCATGCCACTTCATTTATCATAGCAAAAGCCATAATGCTCATCCAGCATTGGTTGACCTTAATGATCTGTTTCCATATAGGTCTTTACATATCAGTTCAATATAGAGGTTAAAATGCTGTAAATCTCTTATTGACACTTGCGCCTAAAAGCCTTTCTGAGTGCAGCACTAACATGCTGATGTACACATTGTATCGATCTGTTAAGTAGTGCAGTCCCTGTTTTCTTTATATCAGCTCTTCTTCTGTCAGTTGCTGATCTGGATTTAGTTGCATTTCTGTGGATTGGTAATAAAAGTCTGTTTGCATGTTTATCCAGGCACGTGATGACATTCTGAACGGTTCTCATCCGGTGTCGTTTGACAAGGCTTGTGAGTTTGGGGGAATTCAAACGCAGATCCAGTTCGGTCCTCATATTGAACATAAACACAAGACTGGATTTCTGGAGTAAGACATCATTCATTCAGAGCTTTCGGTTGTAGAGTGATGGAAAGAATCAAAGGACAGATTGAAAATTCTCAGATTTTCTGTATTTGCAATTTATGGTTATGTGATTTGAGTTAAATGTCATTTTTGTTTTATTCTATAAATGACAAGTGACTTTTATTTATAACAAAAAGTTGGCATGATTATATGAATTTTTAGACTACACACTTACAATGTTTTAACTCCAAAACTGTTACACAATCAATATTTGTTGGAATAAGCCAAATGTTTTTAACCACAACAACTGAAACATTAGTAATTCTGACCTATTGTCATTTTCTGGAAAATAAAAACCCATAAATGACAATATTTCTTTTCAAATTTGGAGGAAATGATATCAGACGTTTATACAGGGATCCCAAAACCTTGAGATTTAGAGGGTTGTTATCAGGTCTTGACAGAAAAGCTAGATTTATACTTTCGCCTGGAATTCAAATCAAAATTGTGATTTATACATCAGTGTAAAACCTATGAATAGTGGAAAAACATATTTTTGTAATTGTGTACCTGGCTCTCCACTTTTGGCATGGCCTCCAAACCTTTACCAAAAACATTCCACCTTTCCCAAAGCTGTTCCAATTTCTAGCCAAGAATTATTGATCATCTGGTTATCTCTATTATCACAGATCATATAAATGTCTGTACAGCCGTACTGTTTCAGACAAAATCTCTTCAAAGTGTTTCATATTCAACTGTTTGCTCAAGTCTCAAAAAAAATTGTGCGTTCCACTGGCCGAAATCGAGCGCATCCAGTATAAACGAGGCTTAACACCTGCCGACTCTGGCCGGTTGAAAGTTTTAATTTTTTATTGCAGTTTTCTTAAAAGCAGGGTGTGAGAAAATGTGGTCTTAGAAAAAAGCAGCACGGCTGACAAAAATAATTGTGTTCACTCGAGCAAAGAAGGCAGACAAATACAGAATGAGAGGATGATCACTCGCACACAGGTGTTGGGATGCGCGCGACTGTTTATAAAGTGGGCATGCTACCGTTTCCTGGTGCGATCGGTTAAAATCGGTTGAAATAGGACAAAAAGCGATAAAGAAAGAAGCTTTCAAGAGCTTCAGATTTCTTTAAAATATATATTTTTCAAAGCAGCAGCAGTTGCTTTCGCTTTAAACATTCTTTGAACAGATTATTAATTGGCCTAACGTTAACCGCGTGCATGTGATTGTCTTTTCGTGAGTTAATTTCTAGCCCTGGTTATCGAGTCATGGAATTGACCTGAAATTTGTTAGAAATGACCAAATGTGCTTAGAAAATCTTTTCTTATCCTAGATTTTTTATTCTTTCTTAATTTTTATGTTTTAATTTTTCAGCTTATTATAGCTTGCTGTTTATAAGCCTATATAAGAGAGATGTCCAAACTAGGGCCTGCGGGCCAAAGTTGGCCCATGGTAACACTTGATTTGGCCGACCATTCCAATTGAGAAGAGGAGAATGATGGGGAGCATTGAGGAGAATGCCTTTAACAGTGATCATCATTTTGAATTTAACATAACCATTTTTGTTTGTTTGTTTTATTGTTGAGTTGAGCTATAAAAAAAGCAAACTGAATTTAAGTGTTTCAATTAAATGTTGTAAATTAATCAAATTTTTAAAAAGTAAATACTGTCTCTCGATGAATAGAGTACAATGCACAAAACATTGTGGAAAATTAAGGCAAAAGCTCAACTTGTGTGTTCGGCATTGTGTAAAAAATGGGAGCTTTTTTGGTTTTTAGTGTAATATGTTCATAATATGTCTATATTATTTTAAATTATGCTGCATTAGTTCATATAAAGTAATGTTTTCAAGTTTTAAATATTAGGAAAATAAATTAGGAAATCACTCATTACAACTTTAATGGTATACAGTTTGCTATATTTATCTTCGGCCCACAGACCTCAATGAAGTTTGTGTTTTGGCGCTTTATAAGAAAAGGTTTGGGCACCCCTGCTATATATAATGACAGTTGAGATAAGCTGTGCCTACATAGAATAAAAATATATTGACATTTAACTAGTAAATCCAAAGAAACTGAAAATTTTTAGGTGGTCTTTGATTTCATTTTTTTTTCATTGCTACAATATACGATGCAGTAAAAATATATGCGTAATTTAAGAGCCAAGAAATTATTGTTAAATCTCAATGTTTTAATTACCCCATGAAATTAACCTCATATGAAAATCGCTTGAATGCTTTTGAATATGATATGCGTGTTGTATAACTGCGATGCCTGTTTTGCAGTATTTTGTCACTCATCTCTACACTTTGATTTCATTCAGCTTGAAGGAGTTTCTGCCTAAGGAATATATCAAACAGAGAGGAGCGGAGAAGAAGATCTTTCAGGTGATTAGAAATGAACGTTATTATTTTTTGTTATTACACAGCTTGCTGTTTATCTTGAACTTCACTATCTGTAAGCAGTGATGAAAAGTGAGAAATAGTTAGAAGAATATACTGTTCTTGAATTCGACAGGAACACAAGGGTTGTGGTGAAATGACTGAGATTGAAGCCAAAGTGAAGTATGTGAAGCTTGCAAGATCCCTCAGAACATATGGAGTGTCTTTCTTCTTGGTGAAGGTACGTGTGTTTTGTTTTAATTACATGTCTGATTAATTTTTTTTTTTACATGTTTTATTTATTTATTTATTGATTGATTGATTGATTGATTGATTTACTGATTTAGTATATATATATTTAATTAATATTAATTAATTTATTGATTTACTGACTTTTTTCTGTTTGAAATTCCTGTTTTAAGCCATTTAAGGTCTCACAACTAAGTTAATTCTTTTAATTATTTTATTTTGCAGTTTTATTCATTTAGGTGTTTTTTTTTTGTTTTTTTTTACAATCAATCAATACTGGCTTCTGTCTTGATTTCCTTTGCAAGAAGGACATTAAAGTTTAAAGTTATTTACATTTTTTAAAGTCTTTTGTTGTTTCTTTTTTATTTGGAATTGTTTTAGGCTTTGTAGGAAACTGAAAAGTGTTTTAGTATTTTATCATTAATGAGATGTGAAATACATACACTTTTTGTATGTTTCATGAAGAACATAAAAGCTTTATATCCCACAATTAATACTATGCAACATGTACTGTATAAGTAAACAAAACCCTACACTATTAAAAGTTGTGTCAAATTAGTTTTATTTGGATAAACATGACACAATAAAATGCAATGCATTTGCCAGACACCATTCTGCCTGTTTTTGAACTCAACACTTAACAAATTTCCCTCCAGAAGTGCTTTCTGCTATTGGAGGAGTGTCCCACCCCCGAGGTCATTTGTAATAATAAATAGCTCATGGAGTGGCCAATCAAATCCATTGCCAAGAGATGAAATATTGACCTGTTGTAAAGGTGTTTTTAAAATCTGCAGTCCTAAGTCACAAAGTTTTTCCTTTTTTTTTCCCTCTTCATGCACGTCCAGAAATTTTCTTCACTCTACATGTTGCCAGTCAATGTCCTCACGAGAGCTTTCATCATCTGAGAGGATTGAAATCCTCCATCTCCTCTCTCTGCTCCTGGCCGCTGGAGGCCTGCATGACTCACAGCCCGATTACAATTCAGCTCCGCTTGAGTTGAAAAGTTAAGGCCAGAGTTAAGAGCAGATGTGCTTGTGCCTAAAAATAAAGATCACAAGTTACCGATTTTAGGTTTAGTTCTGCCTTCTATTTGTCTCATATGACCAATATAATTGTTCTTTGTATTCATAAAAGTCTAATTGATTCCAGATTGTTTCTTTATAAATGCGTTTGTCCTCATGGCTGAAGTGAAAAAGATTGTCAGCGATTGTAGAGCTCTGAAACGCAGACAGGACAGCAGAGCTCAGCTTATCCGTCTGCTGACAGCTCTGAGAGAGAGAAAGTGTGGAAACGTAAGACGGATGAAATGCTTAAGTGATTCTGTGAGGATAAAGAAAGATTGTCATGTGGAGGAGTTGTAAAAAAATTCTTGAGGATGGATTTTGTGCGAAATCTGTCGAACACATCAGTGGGGTTTTGTAAGATTTTTGTTTGTTTGTTTTTTTGAACATGGATAGTTCACCCAAAAATGAATAATTTATTCACTCTCCATCTTTGTTCCAAACTTGTTTGAGTTTATTTCTTCTGTTGAACACAAAAAAGATATTGTGTTGGATTCCAGTAGCCATTGGCTTTCATAGCATTGTTTTGTTCTGCTATGGATGTCAATTATTACTCGTTTCTTAAAATTCTTCAAAGTATCTTCTTTCGAGTTAAACAGAAAAAAGAAACTCATAGATTCAACTCAAGGTTAGGAACCACTTCATATTGAGCAAATTGTGAATATTTTTCATTTGTCTTTTTAAACTTGTTTGTTGATTTATTATTATTCATATATACAATAATAAACATTAGTTGATGATGGTAATACAAATTTCCGAAGTTGTGAAGAATGGACAAGATTGGTTTTTGTTCAACAGTTTTAGGACCACTTTGATAAACGATTCAGATCCACTTCAAATGTTGACTACTATATATATATATATATATATATATATATATATATATATATATATATATATATATATATATATATATGTAATTTTTTTTTTTTTTTTTTTAATTCAGGAAAAAATGAAAAGTAAAAATAAGCTGGTGCCAAGGCTACTGGGTGTAACCAAAGAGTCAGTGATGCGAGTGGATGAGAAGACCAAAGACGTGGTTCAGGAGTGGCCTCTTACTACAGTGAAGAGATGGGCCGCCTCACCCAAGAGCTTTACACTGGTACTTACATCACATGCAAACTCTTACACTCTCGAAATTTAATTGATAGCTTAAATTATTTTTTTGAATCAGGAAAAGTCTTACGTTTTATTATGATTATATATTCATATACTTATCAAAGCTGTATCTACTGTTGAAGTCAGAATTATTAGCCCCCTTTGAATTTTCTTTTTCTTTTTTTATATTTGCCAAATGATGTTTAACAGAGCAAGGAAATTTTTACAGTATGTCTGATAATTTTTTTTTTCTTCTTTAGAAAGTCTTATTTCTTTTATTTCGATTAGAATATTTTAAATTTTAAAACATTTTAAAAACATTTTAAGGTCAAAATTATTAGCCCCTTTAAGCTTTTTTTTTTTTGATGTCACTAAGCTGTATAGAAATGTCTTGAAAAATATCTAGTCAAATATTATTTACAGTCATCATGGCAAGGATAAATTAAATCAGTTATTAGGAATGAGTTATTAAAGCTGTTATGTTTAGAATTGTGTTGAAAAAGTATTTTTTTTCCGTTAAACTGAAGTTGGGGAAAATATAAACCGTGGGGGTATTGATTCAGGGGGGCTAATAATTCTCACTTTAACTGAATTTGGCCAACATAGAGTATGATGTAATCATGTTGTGGAACGGGATTACAATTAAAAAAAAAAAAATAAAAATAAAAAATAAAAAAAAAAAAAATATATATATATATATATATATATATTTTTTTTTTTTTTTTTTTTTTTTTTTTTTTTACATATTTACATATATATATTGGACTTTTTGTCTTATAATTGTCTTATGTTATATTATACTTAATAACTTAATATCAAACTTTTGTTTGTTTCTACCTGTATTTTATTAAAATATATAAAAGAGTCTGGCTATACAGAAGAGTAAGATCTACATTAGTTGTTTGAAAGTTAGTGGCAAAGTATAAAGGTTTAAAATAATATTAATTAGCGCATAGGCTACACCGTAATCCTTAAAATAGTGTGTTTTATTATGTCATCAGATAAATCTCATTTTAAAATATACCTGACAAGAAACCTGAAATACGTTGTAGTGAATGTCTTCTCTAAGGCTTATTAAAAGTTTGTTATTCAGTATCTTTTTTTCTAAGAAAAACTAAAAATAAATTGGAGTAACAAAATATTAATGTTATGGACCCTTTTTATTACCCTTTACCCTTTTTATTATATCATCTTTACATTAAATTTAATAATAAATATCACTGCATATGTAAGCGTCTATAAGCAGGATAGTAAATTTTACGTTTTTTCTGGCTGCCATTATCGGTCTCACACATTTTTTTTCCTTTTTCTGAAAGTCTTGATAACACCATTGTGGAGTTTTACTTTTATTATTTTAGCAAATAGGATTGTAAAAAAAATATTTGTTGTATTCTGACGACATCTGCTGCTGAGAAACTCAGAAATGTGAAAAGGGTCTATTAAGATGCACAACTCTTTTGTTTAATGCTACAATAAATAACCAAAAAGCCCTGTTCATGTCCATATGCAGGATTTCGGGGAGTATCAGGAAAGCTACTACTCTGTTCAAACCACTGAGGGGGAGCAGATTTCTCAGCTTATAGCTGGTTACATCGATATCATTCTCAAGAAGGCCAGTATTCACTCACTTAACTGCTTTTCTCTCATGAGTTATTCAACATTCAATTATTTTAAGCTTTCATAAAAAGGATTCTGTTAAAGACATAGTTCATCCCAAAAAATTGACAATTCACTCAAGTGAGTTTTTTTATTTGGTTGAATACTAAAAGATATATTTTGAAGAAAGCTGAAAACCTGTTTGCAACAACAAGTACAATAGAAGTCAATGGTCAACAGTTTTCTTTAAAATATCTTTTGTTTTCAACAGAAAAAAAATCATGAAGGGTTAAAACAAATAAAGCGAGTTGTCGGTATTGGGTGAACTATTCCTTTTGAAAAGAGTCTATTTAGTATTTGTATATTACAAATTGGCATTATTGAGGTAATGAGATCTAAATCTTCTATGTAAATGTGTATAAACTGTGTGTTTTTTCGCTGTTACAGAAACAAAGTAAGGACCGGTTTGGTTTAGAGGGAGATGAGGAGGCCACCATGTTAGAGGAATCCGTTTCTCCAAAAAAGTAAGACAGATTTTAAGGCACATTTTTAGTTAGCTTTGATGATAACCATATTTCCTTTCAAGGTTTTGTCATTTCTTGGCAATTTTTCTTTGGAAATGTCTTTGCTCAGACCAGTACAGCCTTACAGGAAAAGCACAGTGGAAAAACAAGCTTATCTGAGTCTGTATTTATCTAGATGAAGCTGAGGTTACCTGTTCAGCACACTGTTTCTATTCTCAGTGTGTTTTTAATGAGTGCTGGCGTCTCCTCTGCTTGAATAAGCCCCAAATGCAGAGTTACCGGCACACAAACATTGCCCTTTCCTTATCACTCCATCCAAATTCACATTCTGTTTGTCATATACACAGTACAATGTGCAGTGAGGGGCTTATACAATCCCCCGTGAAAAAAACAAAATAATGCCAATAAGAATAAGGGCTGCAGAATATATCCTTTCAGCATTGATATCACAATGTGCGAATCCCGATAGTCACATCGCAGGATCTTCTGGATTATAGTTGACCAGAGATAAAACATAGCGGATTACTATTTTAGTAATATCACATTTTAGAGGAATAGTAATTTTAGAGTTTAACATTGGAGAGGGGTCGCTGGTTCGAGTCCCGGTTGGGCCAGTTGGCATTTATGTGTGGAGTTTGTTCTTCCCTGTGTTCTCATGGGTTTCCTCCTGGTCCTCTGGTTTCCCCCTCAATCCAAAGACATTTGCTATAGGTGAATTGAATAAACTAAATTAGTGTGTGAATGAGTGTGTATGGATGTTTCCCAGTATTGGGCTGTGGCTGGAAGGGCATCTGTAAAACAAATGCTGGAATAGTTGGCGGTTTATTCTGCTGTGGTGACCCCTGAAATAGGGACAAAGCCAAAGAAAAATGAATGAACATTAGAGAGAAAATATATATATTTTTCATTTGTTTTTAAGGCCTGTGACCGTGTAAGAATTCCAAGCAAATTTAAGAAGATTTATTGGCCACAATAGATTAAACATTCATTAATTTTCCTGTCGGCTTAGGCCCTTTATTAATCTGGGGTCGCCACAGAGGAATGAACCGCCAACTTATCCAGCACATTTTTACGCAGCGGATGCCCTTCCAGCAGCAACCCATCTCTGGGAAACATAAATTAAACATTTGTAGCTTAAGAGATCAATATAATTATACAATTATTTACATAATTAAAACAATATAGTGTTATTTTTCATTTAATCATTTAATTCCTGTTCATCAGTACTGTTCGACTCCCTTAAAAAATCATATAAATCGTTGTTTATTTATTTTGTATCTTTGCTCTGCTGTATTAACTTTGCTTATTGTTTTTGAAATCATATTTTATGCACATACTCTACTCTGAAAAGTCATCATAATTAATCCAAATTTCTGAATTCTTTACAAATAGAGTGAGAATGAGAGTGAGAGCTCTTTTTTTTGTAAAGAATTCATAAATTTATATTAATTATGATGATTTTGCATGGAAGTAAATTGCATAAAATATTCAAGTCATCTGGTGAAATTGTACTTATTAAAAAAATATTGCAACGTCAGTATGTTCCGATATTGTGCAGCCCTAATAATAATCTAAATTATGGAGAATAATAAGTAAAACAAACAGACAATTTTTGACATTGAAATAGAAGTTAACGCTATGGAAAATAAGACCAAATATAAAATACTTAAAACTTTAGATATGAAGAGTATGTCTATTGAAAATAGAACAAAAATCGATCTTAGCTATACAAACAAATGTAGAAAACAGAAGCATTTCTAAAAAAGAGTCTATAAACACTTCTATGTTTTTTTGAAAACATTATCCACCTCTCTTGTTCCCTGTCTTTCACAGATCAACTATATTGCAGCAGCAGTTTAACCGTGTGGGACGGGTCGAGCATGGCTCTGTGGCACTGCCTGGCATCTTGAGGTCTGGTTCTGTTGGGGCAGAAACGCTGAACATGGGTACAATGCCTGCTCCACAACAACAGATCACAACTGGACAGATGCATCTTGGACACATGCCACCACTGGTGAGTCCACGCATACCAAAACGCTCTCGTTATTTGAAAATAAAACGATTATTATGTAATAAGTTTTTTATCTATATTAATCCTGCCACAAAAGAGCCATACGTTGCTGATGTAGCAATAAGTAAACAAACTAATTACAATAAAATGCATTTAATGACCTCATATTGGCCTCTTGGCTATCTAGATATTAGCATCAGCCCTGAAGTAATACATATTGGTTGTTCACAAGTTTATTGCGATCATATTTGAGATGTATTGGTGGCTCAGTGTAGTTATTGAATTTTTTTACTTGGGTGATCAGAGTGCAGCCCAGCAGGCTCTCGTGGGAACCATTAACACCAGTATGCAGGCGGTGCAGCAGGCGCAGGACGACCTGGAGGAGGTGGAGGAGCTGCCACCACTTGGGGATGACATGGTGAGACATTTACGTTTGCATTTATTCATTTTGCAGATGCTTTTGTCCAAAGCTACTTAAAAATGAGGTTAAAAAAAGCACCTCAAATCACCAGAGTACAGCAATATTTAGATGCCATGAAAAGTTTAGCATTTTTTTGCATGCATGAGATGCTTTCTTATTTATGAACTTATCAACTTTTTACTTTATTTTGTTTCATTTTAGTTGATGTTGTGAAAATACACACAATACGCCACAAATTTAGTCTCTATTCAATTGCATTGATTTTTTTGAACTTGCTTGTACTTATTACCAATATAAATTTTATTTTTATAGTACATTTTATTTGTGATTAGAAAACATGAACATGAGAAATCATCTTGAACACAAAGCATATGTATTACCAAAATAATAAAATAATATGTGTAATAATTTATTCAGGGAACTTTTAATTTCATTAATTTTGTTTTTCTTATTTTTATTTCTGCTTGATTAATATAGTAGGATGTACACAGCTTCACATTTCTGTAATTTTTTATTTTATTAATACTAGTCTATATGCTTCAATTTAAGTTTATTTGTTGTTTAGTGCTTTTTACAATAATTATTGTTTCAAAGCAACTTTACAAAAGGTGCACATTATGGCATTACAATCAAATTAGGAAAAGGTTATCAGTTACCATAACTTTTTTAGTTACAAATAACTTTAACTAATTAACTAGTAACTAAACTTATAAACATTAAAATTATTATATGTATAAACATGGTTAACCTGCCCTTATATAGTACATACAGTTGAAGTCAGAATTATTAGCACCCCTGTTTATATTTTTTTCCCCTAATTTCTGTTTTACGGAGAGAAGATATTTCCAGCACATTTCTAAACATAATAGTTTTAAAAACTCATTTCTAATAACTGATTTATTTTATCTTTTCCATGTTGAAGACTACTGTAGACTATCGAAAAATATATAGCTTAAAGGGGCTGGTAATTAGACCTTAAAATTGATTTTAAAAAATTAAAAACTGCTTTTATACTAGCCGAAATAAAACAAATAAGACATTCTCGAGAAGGAAAAAATATTATCAGACAGTGAAGATTTCCTTGCTCTGTTAAACATCATTTGGGAACTATTTAAAAAAATAAAATAAGATTCAATGGGGGGCTAATAACTCTAACTTCAACTGTAGGTGATGTCTGTGTGTGCATGTTGCTTCTGTTTAATTTTTACTTTTATTCATTTTTACTTCACATTCAGGCTTCTAAGATGTGGATTCAGAACAAAATGGACGAGTCCAAGCATGACATTCACTCTCAGGTGGATGCCATCACAGCTGGAACTGCCTCTGTGGTCAATCTGACTGCCGGTAAAGCCTTTTAACTGAAGAAATTAGTCGTTATTAATAAACAACATGACTCTTAAAAACTAAAAATAGTCTTATCATTTTTTCATCAGTTCTAAACCTGTTTGAGTTTCACCTGTTGAACACAAATGAAAATATTTTAAAGATAGCTGAAAACCTGTAACCACTGACTTCTATAGTATTTGTATTTCCTACTATGGAATTTGATAGTTGCATGTTTTATCAACTTTCTTTAAATTATGTTGTTTTGTTCAACTGAAAAAACAAACCCCTAAAGGTTTGGATTCAGTAAACAAAGATAATTTTTGTTTTTGGGTTCACTATCACTTTAAATATGTTGCAGCATTTACTATATATACAGTTTGAGGTTTTGAATGCACCTCTGCCGTGTAATGATTGGCTAAATGTGTTGTCTCATTTCCACAGGTGACCCAACAGACACGGATTACACTGCAGTGGGCTGTGCCATCACCACCATTTCCTCAAATCTGACAGAGATGTCGAAGGGAGTGAAGCTGCTGGCGGCTCTGATGGAGGATGAGGTTGGCAGTGGGCATGATCTGATGAGAGCTGCCAGGACCCTAACCGGAGCCGTTTCTGACCTGCTCAAAGCTGTCGAGCCCACGTCAGGAGAGGTGCCAACTGTAGAAGCATCATTGTCTGACACTTTCATTGACTGTTGTTCTTTCTGTCATTCACAAAGATTTTGTATTAATTTTCTCCCAAAAATACTACACTGCATTTTCAGGGATAAAATTCATCAATTCATTTATTTGTTCATTCATTCATTCATTCATTCATTTATTTATTTATTTATTTGTTAATTCATTTTTTATATTCTTTTATGGAGTTTCATTCATTCATTAGTTTTCGTTCATTCTTTTATGCAGTTTGTCTTTCATTCTTTCTTTCGTTCATGCTTTTATTCTTTTATGAAATTTCATTAATTCAATAATGCATTCAATAATTCTTTCATTCTTTTATGCAATTTTATTCATTCATTTTCAATAAATTTTTTATCCAGTTACTTTCATTCATGCTTTTTTATTCTTTTATGAAATTTCATTAACTCATTCATTCATTCTTTTATCCTTTTATTCATTCTTTCATTCTTTTATGCAGTTTCATTCATTGTTTTTTAATGCAGTTTCATCCATTCTTTATTTTAAGCAGTTACTGTACTTCCTTTCATTCATACTTTTATTTATGAAATTTTAATATTAATTATTTCATTTATTTATTCATTTATTTTTTATCCTTTCATTCATTTATTGCACTCTATGCAGTTTAATTCATTCATTCATCCATTATTCCATTCATTCATTCATTCATGCAGTTTCTTTCATTCATGGTTTTATTTATTGTTTGCTTTTTCATTTATTCATTCGTTCGTTCGTTCATTCATTCATTGTTTCATTTATTGTTTGTTTTTTCATTCATTCATTCATTCATTGTTTCATGATTTTTTATTTCCCATGTTTAAATGCACAGTTTGTTAACTTGGTTTTACTTTTATAACTGATTTGCATGTTTTTCTATGTGACGTTTTCTTTCCAGATGTCAAATGTAACATTTTGAGTATTTTTTTATTCATTTCATTATTATCCCTGTATTAAATTTCATTAGAATTCCAGCAACACTGCACTACTATGAAGCTTGAGAGAGAAATCTATATTTACTAGTTTATGTTCTGTCACTCAGCCTCGACAGACTGTTCTGACTGCAGCTGGCAGCATCGGTCAGGCCAGTGGAGATCTGCTCAGACAGATTGGAGAGAATGAAACCGATGAGCGCTTCCAGGTACACAGGCGTCTAATAAAGTATACAATGCATGACGCGTGTTTATCACCCTGAGCCTGTATATATGTGTCTGTTTTAGGATGTGCTGATGAACTTGGCAAAAGCTGTGGCCAATGCAGCAGCTATGATGGTTCTAAAGGCCAAGAACGTGGCGCAGGTTTCTGAAGACAGCGTGATGCAGAACAGGGTTATCGCTGCTGCCACCCAGTGTGCCCTTTCCACTTCACAACTAGTGGCCTGTGCCAAGGTGAAAACACACACACACACACAGTCATAATTGAGGTGGAAATCACAGATTAAAGGGATTATTCCCCCCAAAAATAGACTCATTAATTACTTAAAAAAAACTTTTGGTTTTCCAACTAGTGAAATCAGATTGTTTTTATTCATTGTCACTCCAAGACAACATACAAGTTTTTAATACTTGGAGAAGATCCTCCCTCCTGTTCGATTTGTAAAAGCACTTTAACTATGAAGCATGTTCTGTTGGATTGTGTTTCAGTTCCCTCTGTGTGGAATTAGTTTTGTTTTGTTCATCCTTTTGAAATGATTTTTAACAATGTTAATCTAAATACAGTTTTAGAGTTTTTTTTTTTATTTTTTTAGCAAAAATAAATTGTAAAAAATGAATATAATCTATATCTCCAGTATTAGGCTCCAGTTACAAACAAACAAACAAAAACAACAGCAAAAACATTCACTCATCCTCGAGTGGTACCAAACCTTCATGACTTTGTTAAACACAAAAGAAGATATTTTGAAGGAAGCTGGAAACCGAAAACAAAAAATACCATGGAAGTCAATGGTTCCAGATTTCCAGCTTTCCTCTTAATATCTCCTTTTGTGTTGTGCAGAAGAGCTTATGGTCTGTATTTTCACTGTTATGCAGATGACACTCAAATTGACCTGCCCTTAAAACCGAGCTCAAGTGGGTTGGAGACTCTTATATCTTGCTTGGCGCATGTGAAAGCATGGCTGTATTTGAACTTTTTAGATTTTAACGAGAGTAAAACTGAAATAATTCTGTATGGCCCATGAAAGTCTTTTAGGCAACCAACAGTAAATCTTTGTAACTCAAGCTTTTCTGTGAAGCCTTGGGTAAAAAAATCTTGGTGTCATCTTTGATGATGCCTTGAGATTTGAAAAACCGACAAATGCAGTGCCTAAGTCCTGCTTCTTTCAGCTTCGACTCTTAAAATCTGTCAAACCTATTTTATCTTGAAAAATTTTTGAAAAAATAAATGATGCTTTTATTACGTCTATGTTGGACTACTTTAACTCACTATATTTTGGGATTTGTCAGACAACTCTATCCTGTTTGTACCGGTAAAAGTTTTTAACCGGTACCAAAACACATGACCACATCAGACTAGTCTTACGCTCTTTGCACTGGTTGCCTGTGCACTATTGTGTCACTTTTAACATTCTTCTCTTGGTTTTTAAATCACTAAGAGTGCATTCACTTGGTTCAGTTGCCGGGACAGTACTCAAGCTTTATTGTACGTAATACACAGACACACACAGATACACACACACGCGAATAAACAGTATGAAAACGATAGTTTGTTGTTCAGTTGGAACCAGACCAGAGTTCGCCTCTTTCAGATGGACTCTGGTGCTGTTCACGGGTGCGCACCGGAGTTCAGAAGACACATTCACACTATCTAAACGTACCGTACTCTGACATCAAACAAACCCATATGTATGTGTGTGTCTTCGTATCATGTACTGTACCTTTGGTGACGAGCGGGACTGAGCCAGAGCAATCACAGTGACAATAATGTCTGCTAGTCTCCCCCTAAAACAGCTTCTGCAGACATCACCTCATGTTCTGAATGTTTATAATATTTCTGCAGCAGATAGACGAGAGTTGCTTTCTGTATATCCTGATCAGTCTCTTCGGTCATCAAACCATTGATTATTATGCATACCTAAGTCGAAGCTGAAATGCAGATGTGATGCAATGTGACCATGCTTTCACAGTAGCTGGTCATAGATTGTGGAAAGATCTGTTTTATATCTGTCTGTTTTTAAATCTAGGTTGAAAACTTACCTCTTTGATTTGGCATTTTATCAGTGAGAATTGTTTATTTTAGCTGCAGTTTTATATCCTTCTCTTTGTGATTTGTATTGTGCAGCACATTGGTCATCATTTGGTTGTCTTTAATATGAATAAAATTGACATTTACAAATAAGAAACTCAAACGAGTCCGGAACAGTTAAAGAATGGGTAAATATAGACAAATTTCAGTTTTGGGGAAACTACCCCTCTCATGATTTTAAAGCCACGCATTTGGCAAATGGAATTTTTTTTCCTTTCATCCTCATCTAACACGCATGTCTTGTTTTGATCCAGATGAAAATAAAATGATCACTGATGTGTTTATGTAGGTTGTGAGCCCCACGATCAGCTCTCCGGTATGTCAGGAGCAGCTGATTGAAGCAGGGAAACTGGTGGATCGTTCGGTTGAAGGTTGTGTGAAGGCCTGTCTGTCGGCCACCAGCGATGGAGAGCTCCTTAAGGCTGTCAGCGCAGCAGCCGGTATTGTCACACAGGCTCTAAGTGACCTCCTCACACACGTCAGGAACTACGCTACCCGCGGAGAGCCCATTGGACGCTACGACCAGGCCACAGACACCATCATGAACGTCACAGAGAACATCTTCAGCTCTATGGGGGATGCTGGTGAGATCAATGCATCATGTACAATAATAGTCATTTTTAATGATTTGGAAAGATGTCTCTGGAAAGATGTGCTCAACCTGGCATCAAAAAATATTTTGTGATTTGTGAAAAAGTATTTAAAATTTAGAAATAACTGTTTACTATTTCACAGTATTTTAAAATGTAATTTCTTCATGTGGTGGAAAAGTTAAAAGGCAAACTTCAGTGACGCATTCTTCAGCAATCATAATTGTAAAATATGATCATTTGATTGTTTGATTGATTGATTGATTATATATCATTTATTTTTTAATTTATAGTTATAAATATTTTTTAACTGTTATGGGTTTTTTTGCGTTTGATTGGAAATCTCCAAAGAACATAATATATTTGAAATGGTAAAACATATTATTACTGTTTAAAAGGTTCAGACAGTTTAATGTGTCTTTGCTAAATAATGGTATTTATTTATTTTTAAAGAATATCCTTGACATTACTTTAAATTTAAAGTCTGTTTCAGGTGTTCAGGCATCCTCAGGGGGCAGCAAGGAAGGGCTGAGGGTTTTGTGGAAATATTTGGACAATAGTTTAAAAACTTCTTATTAATAGTTAATATTTATCAATAAAATCGTTCATTAATTTTCTTTTTGGCTTAGTCCCTTCATTAATCTGGGGTCACCACAGCAGAATGAACCACCAACTTATACAGCATATGTTTTATGCAGCGGATGCCCTTCCAGCTGCAACCCATTTCTGGGAAACATCCATACACACTCATTCACACACATACACTACGGACAATTTAGCCTACCCAATTCACTTATACCGCGTGTCTTTGGACTTGTGGGGGAAACTGGAGCACCAGAAGGAAACCCACGCGAACATGGGGTGAACATGCAAACTCCACACAGAAACACCAACTGACCCAGCCAAGGCTCGAAAGAGCGAACTTCTTGCTGTGAGGCGAACGTGCTACCCACTGTGCAGCCCTTTAATACAATCCATCTTATTAATGAAAATAAAACCCAAAGAAATCAAACATTTTATTACTTTAAGTATACAGTTATTCAAGAATAAAAATCTAATATTTATAAGTATAACAATTATTGTAGATAATTTAAACTTTGATCATAATTTATAACAAAAAATGTAGAAACCAAGAAAAGATTAATTGAATAATTACAGTATATTATTAATTTACTAATTATTCTACTAATTATGTAAAGTACTATATTAGTAAATGTAATATAAAGTAAATATTTTCCAAGCCACATTTTATATTCACACTATAAATTAGGTTTTTATACAAGCAATAAATACTCTTGATGCCTTTTTGTATTTTGAATGACTACATTCATATGTCTGTGGCTGTGTGGCATCTAAAACATTTAAATTCCTAGTCTACTTTGCATAGTTCATTTGTTTATGCATTCTACGCTGCTCTAGTAATAGAGATGTGTCATTCTTTGTTGTAGGTGAGATGGTCCGGCAGGCGCGGGTTCTTGCCCAGGCGACCTCTGACCTTGTGAACGCCATGAGATCAGATGCTGAGGTAGAGGTGGATGTCAACAACTCCAAGAAGCTTCTTGCGGCTGCCAAACTGCTGGCAGATGCCACTGCTCGAATGGTTGAGGCTGCAAAGGTGGGTTTAACATTTGAGCATTAACACTTTAATCATTTTAATTCTGCTTAAACTCGTTTAAAAAACAGCTATTCTAGAAAAAAAGTTTGAGTTTGTAATGATTTGAAGACACATCTTAAGTTCAAAAGATTTTTTATGAAACCTTTATTGTCATGATGTGAATGGGATTTTAAGTATGCTTATAAGAACAACAGCATCTCAGTTATGACATTTTTAAAAAAAATGACATTGTTTGTTGACAACTTGACATAAACAAATACATTGCAACCTGTTTTTGTCTTTGTCATAACAATTTGACATTACCACAACAACAAAACTTGTCATAAATCTGTCATAAACTTGATTTCCATGAGGCATTATAATTGTCATAAACGTAATAATGGCGTCAATTTTATTTTTTGACCTCAACTACAGTGGTACAAGCTGAAATTGACATTAAAATTTTATTAAACATTATTGACTCTGTCATATAATTGTTTAACAGAGTAATGACACTTTAATGACAAATAAAGTTTGTTCCAAAAGGAAACATGATAAGAAAATTGTTCATAACACACTTATAATGTCTAAAGACAATTATGTTTATGAAAGATTTGTCATGGGTTGCGTCTGGAAGGGCATCCGCTGCGTAAAAACTTGCTGGATAAGTTGGCGGTTCATTCCGCTGTGGCGACCCCAGATTAATAAAGGGACTAAGCCGACAAGAAAATGAAGGATTTGAAAATGAAAAGATTTGTCATTACTTTGTGATATAATTTTTAACACTATCATTAATATTTAACAACATTTTTTAAAGCCATAACCACTGAATTTGAGGTAAAAAAATTAATGATGCTATTATAAAAATCATGACAATTATAATGTCTCATGAAAATTATGTTTATGACAGAGTTATGACTAAATTTGTGGTAATGTCAAGTTGTCTTGACAAATAATGTCATCTTTGCATTTAAAATAACATTACAGAACAAATAACTTAATAACAGTTGTCAAAAGCATGTATAAAATGTCATTTACATTTACATTTTACATTTACATTTAGTCATTTAGCAGACGCTTTTATCCAAAGCGACTAACAAATGAGGACAAGGAAGCAATTATCACAACTATAAGAGCAACAATAAATAAGTGCTGTAGGCAAGTTTCAGGGCTGTAAAGTCTAAGAAGGAAAGCATTAGTAATGTAAGAATTATTATTATTTTTTTTTTGAGTACAGTTAGTGGTATAGCTAGAGGCAATTGCAGATTAGTAAGTGAAGAGGAGACTAAATAGTTGAGTTTTAAGTCGTTTCTTGAAGACAGCAAGTGACTCTGCCGTTCTGATGCAGTTAGGGAGTTCATTCCACCAACTGGGCAGATTGAATGCGAGAGTTCGGGAAAGTGATTACTTCCCTCTTTGGGATAGGATCATTTACACTCAGACACATAAAAACTTTTGTAAATATGTGTGTGTGTGTGTGTATTTAGGGAGCCGCTGCATACCCTGAAAACGAAGACCAGCAGCAGAAGTTGCGTGAGGCTGCAGAGGGTCTGCGTGTGGCCACCAATGCTGCGGCACAGAACGCCATTAAGAAGAAACTCATAACAAGACTGGAGGTCAGTGACTGATTTTGATTTCCAGAAAAAAAATTACGTTCAGACAGACTGGGTTCCCATTATTTCTGACTTAGATTTTAGACATGAATTCTAGGCCTGGAACGTACTTGAAAACAAACACATGTCCTTAAAAGTGTCAAAAACAGAATGAAAAGAATCTTAATTTGAAAATCAATCATTTAAAGGTCCATTGAAGTTAAACCATTTTTTAGATGTTAGTTTCAGCATGGAAGTCTTTAAGGATATCTACAAGCTAGCGTGGTACAAAACAGTGACAAAATTCATCTTTTGAAGATATAAACATGTAAAGCTTGCAGTTTGTCACTTCCGCTTAAAAGGATCAACGTTTTATTCACATCACCTCATACTTGAGTTTCTCATCAAATCTTGAGAGAGAAAATGACACATTCAAAACATCTTTACGCTGACATTTTTAAATGTAAAGTCTAAGTTAATTGTTGAGTACAGTAATGACTTCTATGCTGCTATATAAGCTGCCATTTGAATTACAAAGGTGCTTGCTTTAAATTTAATGGTGCTTTAAAAAGTCCTTGAATCTGCTGTTCATGAAAGAGTGGGAACCCTGGACAGAACAATGTGATTAACGCAAGAGAGAATTTATTTGATGCTTTCCTACAGTTTGAATGAAACGCTGCACTGTCTGTTCTATGTTTTCTGTTTTTTCATTCAGAATGCTGCTAAACAGGCCGCTGCTGCTGCCACTCAAACCATTGCGGCGTCCCAGAACGCAGCAGCTTCTAACAAAAACACAGCAGCCCACCAACAACTGGTTCAGAGCTGCAGGGTTTGTATTAATATTAGTGTTATTAACCTCTACGATGTTCAAAATGATGGGCTATCTATAGTAGTGATTTCTTTGTTATTGTGTGTTAGGCTGTAGCTGACCATATCCCTCAGCTGGTGCAGGGAGTGCGTGGCAGTCAGGGGCAGCCAGAGGATGGAAGTGCACAGCTCGCTCTCATCATTGCCAGCAAGAACTTCCTTCAGGTATCCATTCAATTCAATTGAATTTATTTGTATAGTGCTTTTTACTGATTCAAAGCAGCTTCGCAAAAGGTGCGTATTATTGCATTACAATCAAATTAAGTTGTAAGTTGCAGTCAAATATAAGTTATTATTGTTTATAAACCTAGTTCACCTGCAGTTTTAAAGCATATTGGTGATGGCCATGTGTACATGTTTTGTAAAGTGTACTTGTGTATTAAGTGTATGTGTTGTCCCCGAAGTGCTTGATGGTTGGCATCATCTCTTTACAGGTCTTGGATCTTGTATCCGTCTGTTATTAATAACATGACACTCATCTGTAGAGACTAAATGAGAAGATGAATAGAGCATCATCACTTTCTTTCATTGTAGAAAAGTGAAGCCAAAATGTTGCAAAGTTGTTGTTTTTGGCATCTTTGGCTGTTATTTGATGCCATCTGTGCAGCAGTGAACATGAAGTGAAGACATTAAAGTCTATGTGAAATCAAAATTTGCAAAACTTATTTTCAGTGCAAGTTAATATACTGAAAAAAAAAATCTGATTCCATGTTTGAAATGGCGGTCCACTGTTGACATTAACTTGACAGCTTCAGCCACTATATTTTTAGCCACACCCATCTTACCTTTAGTTTGCTATGACTGATTCTGAATGATGTGGAAAAGAAAGCCCGCCCCTAATTAGTATTCAGTTTCAGTTGTAAGTATGTGAACATACTGAAATATAGGTTTGTAGCAACTTTCTAACTATCTAACTCCCATAGATATTTATTGTTTTGATTCAGTTTACATTTCAGACAGCTAAACATGCTAGTGTGAAATGGCCTTAAGGCTAGTTGTCTTAGCTAGCTAGTCAATAATGTTTATTTTCTTATAAAGCACATTTTTACTTGATAAATAAACTTCACTGATTCTACAGGTTAGTACAGAAAACCAACAAGGATTTTAAGTATGAAGCAGTGTGTTTATGGAAAATGAAAATAACTCCAGAAAGAAATTCACCATGATTATTTCACTCAGAGATGCGGTAATGTAAACTGCAGCTCTCCACCAGGGGGCAATCATGAATGCTCTGGCTTTATTTTCAGGACTCTGCTGGTTTGTCAGCGTGATGTAACATTAGGACATTTATGTTGATCCTGGAACAACATTCCAATCAGATTTAAGGGATGCATTTACAGTTAATGTTAAATTTAGGCTTACAGTTATGTTTATGTGTGTATTCATATTATTCATCCAACATTTTATCCCTCTAATTGACAATTGGGACTAGGTTTAGGGGTATGAAATGCATTTTTGAACAGGAAAGATGTCCCAGGATCAACATAGATGCTAAATAAGGATTGCACCCTACTTGGCAAAATCACATCCACCATTTGCAGAATGAGTGTGCATGTGTTACCACATTAATTAGCAAGAAAAAGTACTCTATTAATGTTTTTTTTTCCAGCCTGGAAGTAAGATGGTGTCTTCAGCAAAATCCTCGGTGCCAACTGTGACTGATCAGGCTGCAGCCATGCAGCTGGGGCAGTGTGCGAAGAATCTGGCCACCACCCTGGCTGAACTCCGCACCGCTGCACAGACGGTAGTGAATCTGTCTTCCACACATGTGCATTAAAATAATTAAAGAATTTTGATAATCAAGAGGTCATTTTACTATAAAAACTTCCTGTAAATTTTAAACTCAAAACATTCCTATTAGTATAAACCACTCATTTTGATTTCTAGGCTCATGAGGCTTGTGGCCCGATGGAGATCGACTCTGCCCTCATCGCAGTTCAGACACTTAAGAATGAACTCCAGGATGCTAAAATGGCTGCTTCTGAGGGACAGTTGAAACCTTTACCTGGAGAGTCCGTGAGTTGAACTACACTGACGAAAATGATATGAGATCTTCTGAAATGATTATGCCTCAATTCCAATGTGACATTTGTTTGTTTTAGTTGGAAAAGTGCGCTCAGGATCTGGGTGGTACATCTAAGGCTGTTGGTTCCTCAATGGCTCAACTGCTTACGTGTGCAGCACAGGGAAATGAGCATTACACTGGTATTATGCCCCTTTTTGATAATATAACTACAGTATCTCTAACCCTAAATATGTTTCTGTTTGGAGTAAAATTTATATTTGGTAACATCTTTATCGATTTTCATTTTTAAATCTAGAACAAGTGTAATAAAGTAATAATTGAAGACTAATATCACTGCTAGCATAATTACACTAACGGATGAGACATTCGGAATAGTCTATACTTTATATAAAATTTATAAACCTCTAGGCTTTACTCATTTGTCTGCAGTTTTTATTCGTTTTAGAAATCTTATTACATCTAGTATAATAATTTATTCAATTATTAATGCCAATAAGCACTTATCAGAATATGCATGAAGTTTTATTTTTGCATTAAAAAACTACTTTGGAATGTTTTCACATATATTTTTTACAATTTTTCTTTGAAAACTTAAAGCAGACACTTGCATATTTGCATTTGACATGCTTACAATGTAGATAAAATTACCTTTGTAATTTTAATTTGATGCGAACACTAAAATGGCATGTCTCATCTTTAACCCTTTTTCTTCTAAACACACCTTGTTTTCACAGGTGTAGCCGCTAGTGAAACAGCACAAGCACTGAAGACATTAGCTCAGGCCGCAAGGGGTGTTGCTGCCACCACATCAGATCCCGCTGGAGCAGCTGCCATGTTAGATTCTGCTCGTGAGGTTATGGAAGGATCCGCTAAACTGATTTCTGAAGCCAAGGAGGCGCTGGTTGCTCCTGGGGATGCAGAAATACAACAGAGACTTGCACAGGTGATCTTGTCTTTTCTACACTTTATTATGTATTGTTGGTGGGAAATGCACACAGTTTCATTCAGACACCAACAGTGTTACAGCACAACTGAATTTTAGGAGAAGGCTAATGATTAGTTCAAATCATGCCTGAAAGCTAAACAGACATGAACACCACCACAAATGGAAGAACAGAAAGCAATTTTTTAAATAAATACAGTAAACACACTTATGATTGTTAGTGATTGTTTTATGTGTGGTTAAAAGATTGTTTAATTCAGTTGATCAAATGTGTATCACTGGTTAAAGTGGATTGAATGTACTTGATATCTTAATATTTAGTTTGTAAATTTGAATGTTAATCCAGCACAAAATAAAAAATGTTCAATACGTTAATCAGGGGTCACCAAACTTGTTCCTGGAGGGCTGGTGTCCTGCACATTTTAGCTCCAACCCTAATCAAACACACCTGAACAAGCTAATCAAGGTCTTACTAGGTACACTTGAAACATCCAGGCAGGTGTGTTGAGGCAAGTTGAAGCTAAACCCTGCAGAGACACCAGCCCTCCAGGACCGAGATTGGTGACCCCTAACGTTAATAATATTTTTTTTAAATGAATACTTTTAAGTTCATGTATGTATTCACCAGATATGTATTATAATTGAATAGACTTTAATTCATTTGTGTAATTCAAATTTAATTTATACCCATGTAGGCAACAGCCATTCAGTTGGACATGATTCTAATATGCTAATTAATTGATAATTCAAAAAACAAAAGTGTTCCCAGTGTTGGAATATTCCTATTTTATATCTTTTACTTTTTTTTGTCAAAATAATGATACGTTTTCTTTAGGATTTTTGATGAACAAAGTCGAAAAGAACAACAAGTCTTTATTAACATTTTAAATCAATTAAATGCAAAGTATCAATTGTCTTTCAAAATAATAATTTCTGACCAATTAACTGGTTTACTTATTGTGTTGTTGTGTTGTCTCTGTTTCATGTGTCAGGTTGCAAAAGCTGTGTCTCACTCGCTGAACGCATGTGTGAACTGCTTACCTGGACAAAAGGATGTCGATATGGCTCTAAAAAGCATCGGAGAGGCCAGCAAGAAATTGCTTGTTGAGACGGTGAGCTACAAATAAAGCGCTTTTTGTCATTCAAAAAACATTCATTATCACCCACTATGTAAATGAAAATGCAAAACAAATTATGCATCTTTATCAGGGGTCACCCACCCTGTTCCTGGAGAGCTACTGTCCTGCAGAATTCTGCTCCAACCCTGTTCAAACACACCTGAACCAATTAATTAGGGCCTGAAGCAGCACTTGATAATTAGAGACAGGTGTGTTTGGTCAGTGTTGCAACTGAAATTTGCAGGAAGGTAGCTCTTCAGGAACAGGGTTGGTGGCTCCTGATCTAAATTATTTTATCTCAAGATATTTTCTCATCATAATGTTTGTCTCCCTCAATAAATAATTGCTGTTATACATGGATTTTGTGTGTGTGTGTTTTTCAGCTCCCTCCGTGCAGTAAGAGCTTCCAGGAGGCTCAGAGTGACCTGAACCAGACCGCAGCCGATCTGAACCAGTCTGCAGGAGATGTGGTCCACGCCTCTCGAGGAACCACTACTCAACTCGCAGACGCTTCTGGAAAGTTCAGTGACAACTTTGATGAGTTTCTGGATGCTGGTATTGAGATGGCTGGCCATACTCCGGTACGATGTGTGGGAGTGAGACAGGGGAGTGAGCTTGTGGATGGGTCTCTCTCTGTTTTCATGAAATGCTCAATAATGTTTGGTTGTTTTAGGGTAAGGATGATCAGTTGCAGGTAATTGGAAATTTGAAGAACATCTCGATGGCCTCTAGTAAGCTTCTGCTGGCAGCCAAGTCTTTATCTGTAGACCCTGGAGCTGGCAACGCAAAGAACCTGCTCGCCGCCGCTGCTAGGTCATTTACAATTCCATTCAATAAGTCAAAATTATTCACTCTCCTGTGATTTATTTTTTAAAATATTTTTATATATTTTTAAATATTTATCAAATAAAGTTTAATGGAGCAAAGAATTTTTCACAGTGTTTCCTATTATATTTTTTCTTCTGCAGAAAGTCTTTGTTTTATTTTGGCTAGAATAAAAGCAGTTTAAATTTTTTTAAACCATTTTTTCTTTTTATCTTTTTTTCCGATTGTCTACAGAACAATCCACTGTCATACAATGACCTGCCTAATTACCCTGACATGCCTGGTTAACCTAACTAACTGAGTTAAGCCTTTAAATGGCATTTTAAGCGGAATACTTTTATTTAGTATATATAATTAATAGCATAATTTACTGTCATCATGGCAAAGATAAATAAGTAGTTATGAATGAGTTATTAAAACTATTATATTTAGAAATGTGTTAAAAAAAATCACTCCGTTAAACAGAAATTGAGAAAAAAAAATATACAGGGGGTTAATAATTCTGACTTCAACTGTATATTTTTATTGTATTTAGCAAGAAAATAAACAGTAACATTACTAGAACAGAAAGAGTACAAAAAGACATTTTACAATACACAATGTCGGATGCAACATACTACAATTTCTTCAAGAAAACAATCAAACCCAAAAGAATATTCTAGTCTATAAGGAGTTACAAGTCAACATTACTAAAAATATAACCTTATTGGATTCCAGATTTTGAATAATTTACAGTGTTTATTTATTTGTGTTTTATTCAACTTTTTCACTGAATGACTACTGTGTATTAAATTATGGGTTGCACTTCTGACTTCACAACTTCCATTAAACAAAAGAAAAAATCACCTCAAAAATAAAGGTTGTGCTAAATATAAATAAGTTGGGAAAAGTGAATATCGGGCTCTCCTTTCTTAGTTTTTGCTCATACCTTATGTGTTTATTCAGATCTGTGACTGACAGCATCAATCAGCTGATTACGATGTGTACCCAGAATGCCCCGGGACAGAGGGAATGTGACAATGCTTTAAGAGAGCTTGAGGTATTATTTGCTAGTAAGTTCTTTGTCTTAATATTTATTTCAAAAATGTGATATTGACTTTTTCTTTTTGTGGTGTCACAGGCTGTTAGAGGACTGCTGGATAACCCAAATGAGCCGGTCAATGATCTCTCCTACTTTGACTGCATTGAAAGTGTCATGGAGAACTCTAAGGTAACTCTCACCAATACTATTATATCAGGTTTTACACACAAAACCAAACATTAACGCAAAGCAATGTGCTAATGTTAATGAATGCTGCACAGATTTTATAGTCTCTTTAATATTGTGTTATAACTTAATATACTTTGTTTTTTTCATTGTCAGCTCTTACTATTATATTTATATTAACTATAATTTGTAACTAAATAATACAAGTATACTTTACAAATGTTTAAATATCAGTATGGTTATTTTTAGGAGCACTTTAAGCTGGCCAAAAAAACAGCAAAACAATATAATGACAAAAAGTTTTTGTCTTCTGAATATTCTACTACAATGGTTACTTAATAATGGAAAAAAATTAAATATTGAGCACATGTTTTTACTGTACTTGTGATAAATTAGCACCCTTGATCCACATTAGAGACTTTTTTCAAAAGCATAAAAGTCTTACAGGCTCCAACATTATGAAGTCTTTCAATTTACATCTGAATCTTATAGTGGTGTATTCCTATAATTGCTGTTAAGTTACTGAACTGCAAAAAAACTTCAAATAAAATAAGAAAAAAATGTTAAGTCTTTATACCAGGTCATTGGACTCCTTTGCTTACTAGAGATAATTAGGTCCTTGTTTACATCTCATTTTATTATATACTTTTTTTCTTATCCTCACCTGAAAGTCGCTTTTGATAAAAGTGTCTGCTTAATGAATAAATGTAAATATTTTGAGTTGTCATCCATTTTTTTCTTATTTGCTTGCTTTATCACTTGCTCATATTCCAAGCAACATGAACTCATTCATTCTGTAGTACTTGTGTATCACATGGACATATGAATGCATGTTGATATCATGGAATCCACCTCTTTTTTCTATACAGGTACTTGGAGAGTCTATGGCCGGGATTTCTCACAACTGTAAAACAGGAGACGTTCCAGCATTTGGAGACTGTGTTGGTGGAGCGTCTAAAGCTCTGTGTGGACTAACTGAAGCAGCTGGACAGGTAAGAAACTACCAACTCTGCTATTCCTCTTGCGTTTACCAGGGTCATGGAATTTCCTGAAAATCATTGAATTTTTTATTTTTTTTGTTAAAGGTATATTCTAGTCATCGGAAGTAACATGTCAGAAAATATATTCATTTTTAAAGTTCATTTATTTATAGAGGACGTTTAAAAACAGTCACAAGACTGACCAAAGTGCTGTACATAAGACAAAGTAAAATAAAAAGATTGAATATAAAACCATAGAAATAAGACAAGAGAAACAAATGAAAAAAAATGTAAAAATGCAGCAGTAGAAAGCACTATTAAAATAATATTAAAAAACAAAGCTAAAAAGTACATTTTAAGGAGTGATTTAAAAATAGATAGTGATGGAGCCATTCTAATCTCAAGGGGAAAGGTGTTCCATAACCAAGGACCTGCCTCAGAGAAAGTTTTGCGTTTAGTCCATTCTGTGTTTAGTCTGCACAAAGGAACTTAAAGAAGATTTTGATCATTTCATCTAAGAGATCTCATGCAAGTGTAAAAATGCAACAGCTCTGAGAGATGGGTTGGGGCTAATTATGAAGGGATTTATACCAGTTTAAAATCAATTCTGAATTAAGTCATTTTAAAGCTTTAGCTTCAAAATGACCACCTTGAGGACTGGGCTTCAAAAAATTAGATGACAGAAAAACTAAATGTAAAGTTTGTAATACTACTATTGAGATCACAAAAAAGTACCTCTTATTAATTTATTTTTGTTTACCTGAGATGAATTATCTATCTATTGTTGTTCCCATAATGCCTATTAAAGCAGTACAAAATGATATTCAAGCTAAAACCATTTTTAAATTATGCAAAGACCCCTTTTATCTGTTCATTAGATGTCATAGAAGTTCAACATTTTAGTCGGTGAAAGGGAAAAACCATGGAATTTGATATTTATTTGAAAGCACCTTTTAGAACTGCTTCTTTTCTGTCTGATTTAAAATCAAAGTAAAAAATGCTTCTTTTCTTTTGTGCTTGTAATTACAAATAAATAAAAGCAAAATATCCTCCCATATTATTTGCATTACTATCATTATTCTTTTTCATTTCCTTTTCTTTTCCTTTACTTTTTTTTTTTTTTAAACCTTTGTACAGCACTTTGGCCTACCTGAACTTAAATGTGCTCTATAAATAAAGTAGAGGTTGAAAGTGGGAACTGTTTAAATTGTGCAAATGTACTTATTATATTTTTTGGGTATGTCTCTAGGCTTCTTACCTAGTAGGTGTGTCTGATCCCAGCAGCCAAGCTGGACATCCAGGCTTAGTGGATCCTATCCAGTTTGCCCGTGCTAATCAGGCAATCCAGATGGCTTGCCAAAATCTTGTTGACCCAGATAGTAGTCCATCACAGGTAGTGCCAGACTGTCAGATGTTTGCCATGTAGAGTTTGGACTTTTGTTCATCTGATCTTCATGTCTGTTGCAGGTGCTCTCAGCCGCCACTATTGTTGCTAAGCACACCTCAGCACTTTGCAACGCTTGTCGACTTGCTTCCTCGAAGACTGCCAACCCTGTGGCAAAACGACATTTCGTGCAGTCCGCCAAAGAAGTGGCAAACAGCACTGCCAACCTGGTCAAAACAATCAAGGTTGAAATAACCCCTTTATAGTCCAATAATTTTTTGCAATTCACTCATCCCATTAAATAATTGAACATTTATTTTTTCTCTCTATCTCTTCCACTATAGGCATTGGATGGTGATTTTTCAGAGGAAAACCGTGAGAAATGCCGCATTGCAACAGCTCCGCTCATTGAAGCTGTTGACAATTTGACAATATTTGCTTCTAATCCAGAGTTTGCTAGTGTCCCAGCGCAGATAAGTAGAGAGGTGTGACTATCTTGTTCGTTGAAATGTTATACAAAGTTGAGTGCTTGTTGGTGTTAGTAATATATGTGCTTTAACACCTATTATTTAGGGTTCTGCTGCACAGGAACCAATCATCCAATCAGCACGCTCCATGCTTGACAGCTCCACCCACCTTTTGAAGACAGCACGGTCATTGGTTATGAACCCGAAAGATCCACCCACATGGTCATTACTGGCAGGTCATTCACGCACTGTTTCCGACTCCATTAAGAGCCTCATCACAGCTATCAGGTAACACGCATATACTCAGTATTTTGTAGTTTTTAAAGTTGAGGTGATGCACAATTAATATATATTTTTGTATTTTAATAGATGTTCTTTTTTAATATTGCAGGGATAAAGCCCCTGGCCAGAAAGAGTGTGACTCAGCCATTGATAATATCAATAAATGCATCCGAGATATTGAGCAGGCCTCTCTTGCAGCAGTCAGCCAGAATCTACCTCGTAGAGATGAAGTTTCATCTGAGGTCAGTATGTTTTCTACAGTATCTAAAATGCGATGTCTAAAAGAATTTTTAGCAAAGCAAAAAACGTCTCGTTTTAGGAAATAATATGCCAAAATTATATGAGTTTTTCCCTAAATTAAATCAAACAATATGCTAGTGGCAAAATCATCTTGTTTATTGTTTTGACATAAGATTATTTTGCTTACTCCATTGGCAGATTATTTAGCTTGTGTTAAGAAAAAACCCACCTAATTTTGACATATTATTTCTTAAAACAATTCAATATTTTTTACTTGTCTGGAAAATGCTTCTCGATTTAAGAATTTTTAGATAAATGGACTAGAAACAAGACAATGAATAGAAGTAAGAAAAGCATTTTTTGCAGTGTATTTCTTTCATAGCTATAACCACAACCACATTGTGTATGCTATGAGGGGTGTAAAATACTGAAAACAAATGTTGGCAAATGCCTGTCCTTACTAAAAGTGTGTTCACAACAAGCACAATTATAAAGATAACAATAAATATAGTTCTCAATATTGTTCAGACCACAACTATAACAATAAAGATTTTGAGAAACAAGATCATTTTCAGAAAGATTTTCTTTTCTTTGCTAATAAACGATCAACCAAGCTAAAATGCTGACAACCACGCAAGATCCATTGAAATATAAAAGGTTGTGCAATTTAAAGCTACAGATGACTACATTGTGAAGAAGCTCTGCTTGATGTTAAGCCATTTTTTCAAAGATTATTTAAAAATAATTACTATCTAGAAAACAATATTATAATGTGGGAAAGAGTGACAAAAATATTGGGAAGTTATGCTAGCCAGGCTAGCAAATGAACGTATGAAAATAAAAGTAGCCTACCTCTGGTTTCCAGTGCTAGATTCTGTGTCTCGTGTTACCCTAACACTAACCCTGGAGAAATAGTTAGTTTATTCCACTACACTGCCTGCCATCGCTAAATTAATTTGATTAGATTGATACATTTTAACTAATAATTCACTGCTTGGATGTGCTATGAAACTAAAAATGAACAGATTTTTCTCGTTTGTCATTGCGGATTTGTATATTGTTATATTTATATTTAAAGTTGTCCTGCTTTATGTAAATGGGTACTAATGGATTCAGTTTTGTAGAATAAATTGTGAATATGTTTGTAAAAATCTTAAGCCAGTGCAACCAGAAGTAATAAATTTCTTACTCCCAAGTTAAATAATATAAAATATGTCCTCCCTGCTTGAGCACTCTATAGCTGTACCCCACTAATGAACACAATATAATTGTTTTAGCCATGAAGAACAAATAAAAGTGGGGTTTCTGACTAGAACTTTTTGTATCAGGCTTTGCAGGAGCAGTTGACGTCATCTGTTCAGGAGGTCGGTCACCTGATTGAGCCAATTACCACAGCAGCGAAAGGAGAGGCAGCACAGCTCGGACATAAGGTGACCAAAACTATCAAGCCTTTACAGCCTGAAATGAAATATGTGGCAGTATAGTTACTTTCGACACTAATGCATGCCATGTGTCCTTCAGGTCTCTCAGTTGGTCAGTTACTTCACTCCTCTGGTCTCAGCCTCTATGGGCATAGCCTCTAAAACTTTAGACCACCAGCAGCAGATGAACCTTCTGGATCAGACCAAGACCCTCGCCGAGTCTGCTCTACAAATGCTCTACGCTGCCAAGGAGGGTGGTGGAAACCCAAAGGTATTTCTTGGTTACTCACATATGTTCTTTATTTAATACAAATTTTTAATCTTTTAACGTGGTTATTACCTGCTTTGTATTCAGGCGTCTCATACTCATGATGCCATAGCAGAAGCTGCGCAGTTAATGAGGGAAGCTGTTGATGACCTCCTGCTGACCCTGAATGAAGCTGCTAGTGAGGTTGGCATGGTCAGTGGCATGGTGGACTCCATTGCTGATTCCATGGGCAAGGTAATAACCCACAAACCTCTGCATTCTAAACCAGGGGTTGCCAAACAAGGGTTCACCAAACTAACTCTAGATTGAGGGTTATGAGTAAAATATTTTAAAAATAATAACATGGAAAAAAGCCAAATTCTTTTTAAAATGAACAGTTCATCCAAAGACAAAAAGTTCACCATTTGCTTAGAGTTAATTAGTTTTAAACATTTTTTGAATTTCTTTTTTCTGTTCAACACTAAACAAGATATTCTGACGAATATTGAAAGCCAACAACCATTGGCATCCATATTAGGAACAAAACATTTTATGAAAGTGAATGGTTGCTGCTTTGCAACATCCTTCAAAATATCTATTTTTGTTCAATAGAAAAAAAGAAGCTCAAAGAGATTTGGAACAAATGGAGGTTGAGAAAATGATGACAGAATTGGTTTCCTTTTTTTTTTTTTTTTTTTTTACATTTTTATCCCAGAAACTCTCCCTTTAAATTCATGTTTGCTAAATTTTAGGTTTTTAACTTTTTTCCCTCTGAAAATGATTAAGCATTTCATCAGAGAAGACTGTAAATTGAAGGCTATCCATTACTAAACAATCTAAATATGAAATTTAGATGGTCAAAAATGTTCTTTATTGATCCCCGTTCAATTGCATATGCTTTAATGATTTTCTCCAAAACCCTTAATTTTCGTTGACTGAAGTAAGTCTTGCATATCTCGTATAGCTTATGGGAATAAATAAATAATCAGGAATTATTTGTTTTGGGTGACATATTCATTTTTAAAACACTCAATAATTCCATTAAAACTACAGCCAGCAACCTATCTATATCCCACTGCAGTCCAAGACAGGTTAATCGCTGAAGCTAAGCAGGGCTGGGCCTGGTCAGTACCTGGATGGGAGACCACATGGGAAAGCTAGGTTGCAGTTGGAAGTGGTGTTAGTGAGGCCAGCAGGGGGGCGCTCAACCTGCAGTCTGTGCTATACTGTCAGTGAGCGCCCTCTTTCAGTTGAGATGTTAAATTGAGGTCCTGACTCTCTGTGGCTTTAAAACAAATCTCATTGTACTTCTCGTAATGAGTAGGGTGTGTAGCCTGGCCAAATTCCCTCCATTGGCTCCCTACCCATCATGGCCTCCCAATCCTCCCCATCCCCCAAATTGTCTCAATCACTGTCTCTCCACTTCACCAATAGCTGGTGTGTGGTGAGTGCACTGGCGCCGTTGTCCTTTGGCTGCTGTTGCATTATCAAAGTGGATGCTGCTCACTGGTGGTGATGAGGAGAGACCACCCCCTCATGATTGTTGAGTGCTCTGGGTGTTTGGCCATACACAAAAAATGCGCTATATAAATATACATTACTTACTAAATTACTATTGCTTTTGCTTATTAACACATAACATAAAAAACACGGTATATAATTCAGTGTATCTATATGCGCATGGTGCTATGTACTATTTTTTTATGTTTTTGTGGTTCTATAGCTGGGTGAAGGCACCCCACCAGAGCCAGAAGGTTCATTTGTGGAGTATCAGACTACCATGGTGAGATACTCCAAAGCTATTGCTGTCAGTGCCCAAGAGATGGTGAGTAGACACAATTTTGTGCATTTAACATGCGTTTATATATATCAGAAAGCTGGATTCACAGACTTCTGTTTCCCATTCCATTCTCCTCCTTTATTCTCTCCATCAGATCACGAAATCAGTCAGTTCTCCAGAGGATCTGTGCAGTTTGGCGTCTCAGGTCACTGCAGACTACAGTCAGCTTGCAGTTCAGGGTCGTCTGGCCTCTGCTACTGCTGAACCAGAGGAGGTAACTGACATGCAGATGAGCATTTAATCTTTGTGTTTCTCTCTCTCACACACACACACACACACACATGCTGACCATTGTGTGGGTGATTTGTAGATCGGGTTCCAGATCAAGACAAGTGTTCAGGAACTGGGCCACGGCTGCATAGTGCTAGTTCAAAAGGCTGGAGCGCTGCAGATCAGTCCTACAGACTCGTTCACCAAGAGGGAACTCATTGAGTGTGCACGAGCCGTCACTGAGAAGGTACCAGGACAACTGGAACAAATACAAACGCAACTCTGTCAAACTATTTTTGTTGTTTTTTGTTGAAATGTCAGTTTCCTCTTACAGAAAGACTCATTTGAATGTATGTGTAGGTGTCTATGGTGCTGTCTGCGTTGCAAGCTGGTAATAAAGGCACTCAAGCCTGTATCACTGCGGCCAGTGCTGTATCCGGCATCATCGCTGACCTGGACACCACCATCATGTTTGCTTCAGCTGGCACGCTCAACGCTGAGAATGATTCAGACTCCTTTGCCGATCACAGGTATCACACAAATACTGTAGGCTAACAGGCTAATTTCCTGTTGACAGATGTTTGATTTTGATTTACTTCAAACTAAATAAATATGCAATTAAAAACAAATGTCCAAATTCAAATGCATTGCACTATAATCAACAAAACATCTGCACATCTGTACAAAACTGAAAAACAAAAAATTATTTCAACCAAATATAGCAAGATTTTCATGAAGCAGTGGAGCAAGAAAAGAAAGTAAAGCTTTTTTATTAATTCCAAAGCATTGCATTGTCACTTCATATTATTTAATCTTTTGTCTATGTGTATTGTATCTTCCTGACAACTTTTACACGTTTTTTTAAATTAAACAGAAACCCTAAAATTACATGAAATTCCAAAAAGCCTTTCACTGAAAATTGACAGTACAATACGGTCACTTCTCTTCATCCTCATCTATTATTTTATTGATGTTTTTATCTATAAAAAAAAAAAAAGATTTAGTGTCTGGACACTGTATAACATGTGTTCCAGACCATTCCGTATTATCATTTCACACACAGATGATGGTCTGAAATTATAAATGAAAGAAAGAAAGTGTCAAAAAGTGTCATCACTTGCTATTTGCTCTGACTCTGCCCATCAATACCTGGTTTGAACAGTCAAAATGACTTAATATTTGTTGCTGTTTACATTTGTTGTATTTATTTAAATGCTAAGTTTATTGGATTATGAGCGGAGAAGGAGACTAAGGAGTAGTATACTATAAAGATAAAACGTGTATAATTCTTGCCAGAGAAAACAAATATTCAATTTAGCTGTCAAAGAAACCTGACCCCTGCTTAATAGTCGCTATTAGTCTTGAACACCTTGATTAGTTGCATCAGCTGTGGTTGATTAAGGTTGGAGCAAAACTGTGCTGAGCTGCGGCACTCCAGAAATTGAGTTTGAGACCCATGATCTAAGCAAAACAAACCAACAGCAAGTATAAAAGCAGACACTTTAACGCCATAACACCATTACCAAAGACTAAATTACTGGAATATTCACAAGATAGATGTAAACGTTGCTGAATTAAAGCTCTGACAGGGAGATGACAGTTTGAAATAACTGAAATATGTGATCATATCTCTGTTTTGTTCTGTTGATATGTAGTTTAAATACTCATAGCTTGAAACAGATGGAAACATGAATGGTTTATGCTGCTTTTCTATTTGGAGATCCCAATGTAGCTGCCATTGAAGCCAATTACAGGACAGTTTTACTCACTTGTGGCTTTGAAATGTTCCCTTGGAGAAAATGCAACATTGTAATAAAAACGTCCCTTTTCCAGAACAAGGCGAACAGTATACAGGCCTAAAGGTTTTTGTTTTACAATGTTGCAATGTTGTATTACAATGTTGAATATTAAATTGTTCCTTTCTCTTTCTTTCTCTCTCTATGGGGTATTTTCACAGGGACTTTTAATTTCAGTCGGCCAGCCTCAGGGCTTCCGGTTAATTGTCATCCTATACAAAATCACTGCGTTTAAGATCTGATTTCATTAAAGAAAACGGCAATCTTCACTGCTTGGCTAAGATAATATATAAAGTGGGTATCAGACCAAACAAGAAGCACTGCATTAAATGATATTTTTCCATGCTATGACTTTAAAATATGGAAATTAATTTTAACCCAGTATTTTCAATGAAATTTTTGCGCTAGCCTGCTGCTAATGACGACACCTGCATTTAATAATATTTTCATCTTTTTTATGCTTCAACAATCAAACGGATGCTTAAGTCTATTTAACTGATAATATGTTAATTACATCACAGAATCCATGCTGTAAAAGTAATCTTGTGAAATTGAAAATATTCTCGCAAATCTTTCAACAGAAGTTTATCATTGGCTGAAAAGCAAGAGTAAAAAAACGATCACAAGTTTAGTTTTGGCAGTACGTATGTAACATTTGTCATGCCAATAAAGCAAGTTTGAATTGAATGACTGAATGGACTGTATGCAAAGGCATGACAAATGTTACTTACGTACTGCCAAAACTTTTGTGAATTTTTTTTTTTTTTTACATGAAATAGAACAAATTAAAAATTACATATTAGTAATAATAAAAATGCAGTATATTTTGCAATATACATTTTAGGGAAAAAAACAAAAATAATAATAAAACTATTTTTAACAGTCATTTATTTATAACTATTTAGAATTGTTTCTGTGTCAGTGTATGTATAGCCTTTGTAAGCGCTCCACTGGTGATTTTATTGGTCTCCTCTGGCTTTTTTTTGTGACAGGTGTCAATGTGTTGTGCTGCTAGTAAAATACAGTGTGCTTTTTCACCTAGTAAATATTGAAGGTGTGTTTTATTGTTTATCTTTTAAAATGGTAAACAACCTTTGAGGTAGAATGTTGCTCTGATGTTTTAGTAGTTCGGGCGCTGGGTTGAGGAAGTGTTGGTCTGTCTCCACTTCTGCTTGTGCACAGTTTGGGCAGATCAGGCTCTCTCTGGGTTTTCAGTTCTGTCTGTATCGGCTCAGTCAGATTGTGGTTACTTAGTCTGTATTTATCATTGTTGCTCTTAATTTACTGTTCTGTACTGCATTTGAATACGTTGCTGTTGTTTACTCCTTTTTAGGTCCCAATAACATACATTCTCTCTCTCTCTCTCTCTCTCTCTCTCTCTCTCTCTCTCCCTCTCTCTCTCTGTCTCTCTCTCTCTCCCTCTCTCTCTCTCTCTCTCTCTCTCTCTCTCTCTCTCTCTCTCTCTGTTATCAGAGAAAATATTCTGAAGACCGCCAAAGCTCTGGTTGAGGACACAAAGAACCTTGTTTCAGGTGCTGCGTCGAGTCAAGAAAAGCTGGCTCAGGCCGCCCAGTCCTCTGCCAAGACCATCACGCAGCTTACAGATGTGGTGAAACTGGGAGCTGCCAGTATAGGTCCCGATGACCCAGAAACACAGGTGAGAGACATGAACAACGTCACGAGGACAGACGAGATGTCAAAAGTCATCCTTCGGGAATGTGAAGGTGTTTTCTGTCATTCATCTCCTCCTAGGTGGTGTTGATCAATGCAGTGAAGGACGTCGCTAAAGCTTTAGCTGAGCTCATTAGCGCCACCAAGTGTGCAGCAGGAAAAGCAGCCGACGACCCGTCCATGTTCCAGCTCAAGAGTGCAGCCAAGGTACAAGTGTAAAAAAGCCCAAACATAAATATTATTCTGCCTTTTCCCTTCATAGATCATGAGCTCAAAACACTCCAGTTAGATTATTAGCTGTTATATATCTGTCTCTGAAACTGTAATCTCCCAGTTGTCCCTCAGAAATCTGGCCGCCGGGATGGAAATGTCTCCTAACTCAGATATGATGAGTAGAAATTTTCTGGTGAGAAACGCGTGCCATTAATCAGATTAATTATGAATGAGGAAATTAATCTGTAATCTCTTCCATCATCTGTTTTCCATTGCACATCTAGTCCCAAACTGTCCTGAAAATAAAATGAACTACATGACCCATTAATGGCATATATCTGCATGAGTTTGTAATCATTAATTTTGTAGTGTTTAAGAATAGTGGAGAAATCTAACGTCTGATTTTATCTTTTTCATTAGAATAGAGCAAGTATATAAGCTGAAAGGATATAACTTTTATATATTTCTAAGTTTAATTCTCTTCTTAAAACTCATTTTTTTCACACAATAATAAAGGTTTGTAGATGTTGTTTCTTTTGTTCTATTTGTAACTGTTATAAAGCATCCCTGAGCACTGGAAAGGCGATATATAAAATAAACTCATTATTATTAACAAGCTAGTTTGGTATTTTTAATTAATTAAAAGTAAATTGTAGTCTATAAATGGCTAGGTTTCAATGGTATATGCATTCAAAAGTTGTCAATTTTGATATCAGGCCTTGTTTTTACCTGGTATTAAAATAAGCTTTAGAATTTGTAAGAATGAGACACATTACTGTTGCAACCTGGTATTAACATGCATTCAAATGAGTGTTGTGACCACTTGTGTTTGTTTTGGTGAGGGGCTCACCTTTTTTTTTTATCATTTTACATACTTTAACAAGCCCATGTTACTTGACTTGGGTATATAGGCTTTGGTAGTAATCTGTATGTGTTTGTACATTACAGAAAATAATAAGTATGTTGTTTTGGTACTGTTTGTCACCACACTTGCCATACAAGTCATGTGTTTGATTAGCAGGCAGAGAGTAGATTGTCCTTTATAACTGTTTGAATGTGTTTGACCACACGTGTCCTAATTTCTCTGGAAGTGGTAACAGCTTAATACATATTAAAACATTAAATCCATTTACAGCTGAGTTTAGTGTCGCACATTTGGTGATCTGATTGATGAGACTCATTTTGATACCAGATGTAAACAGGCCCTCAGATGTTTTTTCTGTAAAAGTGTTAAAAGTGTTTTTTAAAGAATGAGGCTGTGTAAGTACCTTTTACAGAAATGTTTGCTAAATGACTGAACGTATAATGGACATCTGTTGTCTGTCTCTGTGTTCAGGTCATGGTAACTAATGTAACATCCTTACTGAAAACCGTAAAAGCAGTGGAGGATGAGGCTTCAAGAGGAACCAGAGCGCTGGAGGCCACTATTGAGTGCATCAGACAGGAGCTCACAGTAAGCACACACATAACATGTTTGTTTTTGTGAATTGTGGTGACATTAAATAGGTTCCCTTTGTTTTTAATACTCTACAAACTGTAGTTTCTATTACCCTAATCCTAACCTACCTCAAACCCAACCGTTATAGGAATCTGTGTACACTGAAAAAAACTCATTCTGTGTCAGTAGTAAGCTTTTTGAGAAATTGGGAAGTCAGCAATGTCCTCATATTTCACCACATTCTTGTAATACCTGTGTCATACTTATGTCATTATCCAGATTTGTTTCCTGGTATGTCACAAAAACACTTACAAACATACAGAACATACTGATTTTGGATTTTGTTTAACCTTTTATTTGCTTCATCTAATAACTTTACAAACTTCATTATTAAAAAAAGATCCTTAGAAGACAAAAAGTGTATGGGAAAAACTTAATGGAGACATTTTATTAAAAGAATTTGATTTTACTCTTAACATTTACACACTGTTTGAGGCCAGGGTGACCCCCAAGAGATTTTTTTCTTGCTAAAAAAAACATGGTTGCCTTCATCCTAGCACTAGGTTCAATATAAGAAATTTCTCTGAAATTGTAACCTTTCACCCCATCTTTTTCTAAATCAAATTTATCTACTGTACTGTGCAAATATATATATATTACCCAAAGGTCCTACAAATTGCATAATTGGGTCACTTGAACAATGAATGGATTTTATTTCTCTTAAATGGCACTGTGGTTAAATATATTTCAAATACAAGTTATTTTAATTGTACCTGATCAAATGTGTTTTGGCAACTTTTGTGATTTATTTTACAATTTTAAATAAATAAAATGTTATTTCACTCCATTTTAAATAAATAATGTAATATTTGATAATATAATACAAATATGCAAAATAACATAAAACAACTGTACATGTGAATTTATGTAACTGCATAAAATAGCAAAATAGGCCAATTTTATGAAAAAATATTGCAGAAGCACACAAAAACACACACAATATCTTACCCGAACATGCTAGCATGGTTACAAAATGAAACGTCAAAGTATCTAAGTGACCAGTGTTTGCTGTAATAGTCTGCAGATGTTCCAGTCTAAAGAAACCCCAGAAAAGTCCAGCACTCAATGATGTAAATGCATATAAAATATGTCAAATGTAATGTAAATATGTAAAATATATAATGTAAAATATATCAAATATCATGTAAATGCATTGAAATTCTGTAAAAATATGTATAAAATACAATAAAAATCTGCAAAGTAACAAAAAATAACTGTAGATGTGTAATATATAATACACAAAGCTTCTAGGAAGACTGAAGTGTTTAAGTGTTTGAAGTGCATAAAAGGGGGGCTTTATCAAAGAACAGATGATTTACTTTTTAATAAATTTTGCAGAAGCACACAAAAAACATACTCAATCATACTAGCATGGTTACAAAATGAAACCTCAAAGTATCTCAGTGACAAGTATTTGTTGTGATCGTCTGCAGATGTTCCAGTCTAAAGAAACCCCAGAGAAGTCCAGCACTCCAGAAGAGTTCATTCGCATGACCAAGGGCATCACCACGGCGACCGCCAAAGCTGTAGCCGCAGGAAACTCTGCCCGACAGGAGGACGTGATCTCCACCGCCAACCTCAGTCGAAAGGTCATAGCGGATATGCTGACATCATGCAAGGTAACATTTCAACACTTTCTACACCGATGAATATGCTTGGTGTTTTATTACATTAAAAAATCATGCATTTTTTTCCCTTTTAGCAAGCTGCATTTAACGAGGAAGTGAGTGTGGAGGTCAGGAGCAGAGCTCTGTTATACGGCACTGAATGTACCAATGGATATATAGATCTGCTAGAACACGTACTGCAGGTGCAAACACAATCATTTACACACATTATGCATTCAGACGGTGCTTTGATGGATATTTTCTGCTGAATTGGTCTCAACCAGAACTCTCTATGTGCATATATTTATCTCAGGTCTTACAAAAGCCGACAGGTGATCAGAAGCAGAAGTTGGCGATGTTCTCTAAAAAGGTTGCAGCAGCCGTCACTGAACTGATTCAGACAGCCGAGGCCATGAAAGGTAACAAAAAATATTCACAACATGCATTCATTATTACACACTCACTGTGCAGAGTTTTGAGATTTATTGTGCTGAGGAAAGTTTCCTGTCTCTCCTGTTGCGCTCAAGACGAGGGTGTGTACAGTAAGACACAAATTAATTCAGTTTTTACAAGTCCTATTTTTTTTTTATGATTCCAACACATTGTTTTTATCTTTTTGTGTGTGTGTCATGATTTCATTTGTGTTCGGCAGTGTGTGGAAATGTTTATATTTTCTGCATTGCTTTTGTTTTTAAACACGTCATTCATTTTTCATTTCACAGTTTTTGAGGCATGCCGTCTATGTGTGGATTTCAGCTCTTGTCAGACTGTTTCACTGTGTATATTGTGTGTCAGACAGTGGTTCAGTGTGTGTATATATTGTGTGTTTAGGCACTGAGTGGGTTGACCCTGAGGATCCTACAGTCATCGCAGAAACGGAGTTACTGGGAGCTGCGGCCTCAATCGAAGCAGCAGCCAAAAAACTTGAGCAGCTTAAACCGAGAGCCAAGCCAAAGGTAATGCACATGCTTAATACACCCTTTAATGACAGCATTGAATTTGTGCATTGTGAGAACACTGTATGATCGCTGTGTAAATATACAATGTAAAATATAATACAAATTACAAACGTTATGGGCTCATTCATAAAGTCAAGACCAAGTTTGTTGGAGGTGAGAATTCCGATTCTTTCTAAAAAATTATTTGAAACTTTTGTAATATTAATTTGAGATTAATATATGGTTGATGATAAATCATCCAAAATACGAAGACTATAATATGCATTAGTATGCTGTGTATATTCTATTTTACTAGAAATATTGTTTATTAATAAAATAATAAAATATATTTTTAAACATTTACTACATTTAAATATAAAATATAATATGAATTACAAATGCTATGGACTCTTTCATAAATTCATAAACAATAAAGAAATATTTATAACAACATGTTATGGTAAGGTTTTTTTCTTATTTTAAACTGTCAATTTGGCAAAAGCTGAATTTTAAAACGATAATTCAATAATTATACAATGTATATAATTTAACAAATATTTGTATTTCATGTATAACATAAATTTAGGGATTGTGTAATAATGTTATTATAAAGATAATGTAATAATGAATGAATTTGATGAATAATTAGAAAACAGTTGTTCTTATAATAGTAGCATATTTTTATATTAGTCTAGATTTGTGTCTTGTAGTGAATATAAAACTTTATATATGTTTGCATGTATTTGCAGTGTACTAGAATTGTAAGTGTCACAAAAAATTGTGTATGGTTATGTAGACTTGGGAGTGCACAGTGTTCTCACTTGATGTGTATTTGCAAAGGGTCAGTTCTATACAATATAACTAAAGAAGCTGATTAGTTTGCAGTTCTTTATAGGAACAGCAACGATGACCATTTTTCCGTCTCAAATTCGCACTTTTTTGGGAATCAAACAATGGCAATCACATGTTTTCTTTTGCAGCAAGCTGACGAGAGTTTAGACTTTGAAGAGCAGATTCTTGAAGCAGCCAAGTCAATCGCTGCAGCGACCAGCGCTCTCGTCAAATCAGCTTCAGCAGCTCAAAGAGAACTCGTAGCCCAGGGCAAGGTAAGAAAATAATGACAATGTTAATCAGTTTGATTTTGTTTTCATTTATGTTTGCTAACAAATCATCTTTTTGTTATTTTTATGTGTGTTTTTGTGTTGTGTTGTGTTGTGTGCGTGCGTGCGTGCGTGCGTGTGTGTGTTTTTTTTTAAGGTGGGAGCCATTCCTGCTAATGCTGTGGATGATGGTCAGTGGTCCCAAGGACTGATATCTGCTGTAAGTCTTGAAGTATTAAACTGTCAGAATAACTGACAATGTGTTATTGATAATTAATAATATCACTCTGTGTGACCGCATTATTTTCTTGCTGTTTCAGGCTCGAATGGTTGCTGCAGCCACTAGTAACCTCTGTGAGGCTGCAAACGCGTCTGTCCAAGGCCACGCCAGTGAAGAAAAGCTCATCTCTTCTGCAAAACAAGTGGCTGCTTCCACTGCACAGCTGCTGGTGGCATGCAAAGTTAAAGCAGACCAAGATTCAGAGGCTATGAGGAGGCTACAGGTACAGCATGATCAAATTAGTTGTGATATTTAAAGAGTATTGCAATGGTGATATACTTTTTTAATGCTTTTGCATGTTGTCTGTAGGCTGCAGGCAATGCTGTGAAACGTGCCTCTGACAATCTGGTTCGAGCAGCACAGAAAGCTGCTTTCAACAAGGCTGATGACGACAATGTGGTGGTCAAGACCAGGTTTGTTGGAGGAATTGCACAGGTGAGAATTGCATGTTCTTTCTAAAAATTATTTGAATCTTTTGTAACGTTTATTTGACATTAATATATGGTTGATGATAAATCGTCCAAAAGATGTAGACGGTAAAATATGCATCAGTATGCAGTGTATATCTATTTTACTACAATTATTGTTTATTAATCAAAATAATAAATGAAAGATTTTTCAGACATATATACACTCCTCCACCTTGAGTCTATGGAAGCCCATTGAACCATATGGTAAAAAGTAGTGAAGTGGCAGATGTAATTTTTTAATCGAGGACGTTTATTCATTCGGATTTTTCAAAACACTTTATTTTACTGCTTGTAAATTGTTGTATGATCTACTGATGCAATAATAAAAATCAAACCAGATCATTGGACCATGCTAAAATAATAAACAAACAACAAAAACTTACAATTGCAATTACTATGCACCAACATATAGTGCCATCTTGCTTTGGACGTCTTGAGTTCAAGTTCCAGCTTGTAGACCATGTCCTTATCCTCCCTCCTCCTTCTCTCTCCAACTTTGCTTCCTGCCTAATGTACTGTCCTATCCTAATAAATTAACAAATAAAGCCGGAAGTGCGATTATGTACTCCAATATAGCAGCATTTTTTGACTCTGTAAAATAATAATTCATATTTTTACAGTACTGTGATGGTTCGTTTGGGGTTGGGGTGGGGGTAGACGTTAATAAAATACAATAATGGGAAATTCAATAAATATTATAAATTATTCTCATTAACTTCCAGTCGCAACCATATCCAATCTAGCAACAACCATATATAAATAAAAAAAAAACATTTCTTAAAAAAAAAAAAGGATTGAGGTTACTTCAACACAGTGCCACCTAGTGGTCAGGAATAGCTTAAAATCACAAGATCAGTTTTTCTCGGAATGTCCCGATCAGGTTTTTTTTTTTGTTCTCGAGTCAGTCATTTGATTTTGGCGAAACCCGATCCGATACTTCTATAATACATAAAAAATCTTTTTTTTTATTTATATTTTTTTTATTAATCTTATTTTAACATTCAACAACTCTGTTTGTTTGTTGTGTTAAATTTAGCCTTTTCCTTTCCTCCTCTTACAATCCCAAATTTACATATCTCACAGTTTGCCATGGCAATGTTGTAGTCATTAACTTTATAATACCTCTGTTATAAAACCGTGTTCTACATTTCCGGCATTTAACCAATAGCGTCTCTTCAGCAAAGTGATTTCATGCCGCACGCGTTGCTGTCAAAAAAGAGGTCTAGCTCTGTGCCACCGCATAACTATAGCTCTGTCAAAAAATAATAAGAAAATACTTGCATATATATTGCAGTCCTGATTGGGTGGTAACATCTGATTCCGATCCATTCTAAAACTGCGTGATTGGGTCTGATTTCCAATCACGTGATCGGATCTGGACATCCCTTTTAGTATCTGTACACTCAAAACATCTGTTTTACAATTTTATATATCACAAATATTAAAATGCTAATAGCTTAGGTTAGTTTAGCCTTTTTTGTCTTTAGACAAGTTTTAATAAAGTCCCAAAGATCAATAAAATTTCCTGTCCTTGATTTTGGTTTTCTTTGAAGCTTTTTTAAACTTTTAGACACTTTTGCCAGATTTTTTATTTAAATGAAATTAAATTCTTATTAAATAATTTTTTAATATATATTTTTCTTTTGGGTTAATTTGACATGAACAATGCAAATGAATAATACAGAAATTTACAAAGTACCAGAATAATCCAAAATTCTATTTGGCATCCGCAGTCCTTGGACTGATGTTAAAAATTGTCAGCCTTAAATATATTAATATAAAACAATTAATCAATACATAATAAATTCAAGCTTCAAAAATACATATCAATTTTCATCCTTCCTAAAGAATAATCCACCAAACAATACACTATACAGAAAGCCGACAGAGCAATATCCCACTCATCTCACTCAAACGCATACACAACAGTCATCCATCGATAATCTCATTGATGAAATCAACTCCTTGATCTCCTTTCTGCCATGTTTAGCACCTCATTCTTTTTAATGGTTGCTTGCAGCTAAATTTAATAGTTGAGGATGATAATATAAAACTTTATTATTTTAACATATTCAATATAAATGAGCAACAATGGCATTATCTGGTTGGTGTTTGTGCTGATTTTAATCAGATCATTTTCTTCAGATTATTGCAGCTCAGGAGGAGATGTTAAGGAAGGAGAGGGAGCTGGAAGAAGCCCGTAAGAAGCTGGCACAGATCAGACAACAGCAGTACAAGTTCCTGCCAAGTGAACTCCGAGAGGATGACGACTAATCCGAAATGTTGGCACCCTTGTGATAAGCCTGCCCACCATTTGGTTATTACCGTCAGAACACAGATGAATTTCTCTTCGACTTATAACTCAGTCCATATGACACCTACTGAACTGATGAGGAGTCATTGATACAGTAGCCTGAATTGTGAATTTTTAAATATTTAAACTCTTGAAGAGCATTAAAAACATCGATCATCAGTGAATGTTTTCCACCAAGCCCTCATGAAGAACCTCTGAATTTCTGGCATGATCCTGAACTTGAAATTGTTGTGCATGAAGAGAAAAGAGGGATTACACTTGCAGAAACGGAGACGAATGAAACGGACCCTCTGTTTGATAGCCGTCAATGAAATAAAGCATTTTTAGAGGTTTCAGACTAGAAACCTGATCCTAGAAAAAAGCCTTTTGAACTCCAGTTGAATGTTTAACGTGTACATTTGTAATGGTGAGATACATTTTATACGCTTCACTTTCCTTGCTTCAAAGTTCACAAATGAAATATATTTATGTAGACAACGAAATGTGCAATGTGAAAGAAAACCACTCAGAGTTTTACGTCTGACACGGATCCACTCCATCGAAAAGTTATTTTTGAGAATGTACCAGATGTGGTGTTTCATGGAGAATCAGAAGACTGTACTAACCTTTAAAAATACTGTGGAAGTTCCTTTAAACACTTAAAGGAGAACTTCATCCTAAAAATAAATATATTATTTACTCATCCTCAAGGCATCTAAGATCTTACATTCAGATATGTACAATAGGAGTTATGGTGAATAATATCCTGTCTCTTTCAAGTTTTACAATAGCAGTGAATAGTGCCTGAGCTTTTAAAGCTGCAAAGAGTGCATCAATCCATCAATAAAGTAATACATATAACTGTAATGGGTAAGCAAATAACTTCTGGAGTGAATAATTGGGTTTTGTAAGGAAAAATATCCATATAAATAAATTATATATATATATATGTATACTTTATAAACTAAGATATACTTTATAAAACTTTTTAGATATTTTTCTTATAAAAATCCATTTGTTCACTTCAGAAGGCATTCATTAACTTACTGGAGTCATACGGACTACTTTATTGATGGATACATGCACTTTTTGGAGCTTTAAAATCTTGGGAACCATTCACTGCCATTGCAAAGTTGGTAAGAGGATATTATAAACTTAAAACTCCAGTTTGAAAGAAGGAAGCCATGTATATTTTTGATGGCTCGAGGATGCATAAATTCTCAAATCCTTCATTTTTGGATGAACTATACCTTTAAATCTCAAACTGACCTTATGTCATAGCAAAAAAACAAACAAACATTTCTTAAACTCAAATACTGAATGTATGCGTTCAATAATAATGTCTATGGACACTAGAATATGCTTTCAGAAGAACAGGGCTGAATGAATGTGTTGCACTTCACTTTATGTTGAAAAGGTGATTAATTTGCCATCTAGTGCATGAAGATGACTATTGAGGAGTCTACAATTCTGGGAAAGACCTCAGTGAGTCCATGTTTAAAAAAAAAAATGAAAGGAAGAAAAACTGGTGACTGTTTGTTTTGGGGTTTGCTGGTTGTAAAAGCTTTTGCATTTAAAGCAGAGAAGGGAAGTTATAAATGTAAAGTGTATGGTTATATGGAAGAGCAATTTAACTTAAAAATAAAGGTTTTCAAATATGTTCATCTGCTGTCCGCTTGGAATTTAATTTGCTGATTGTGCACTGAACAGTCCTAAATATATGGTATGGTAGATTGGGTAACAAACGTTCACCAATAAATAAATAAGTCATTGATTTGACACCTTTTTTTATTATTTCTTTATTATTTCTTTTATTATTTCTTTATTATTAAAGTTCTTTATCAAAATATTTGTACGTTGCCTGAAATTATGTAGTCAAGTCTTTTTAAATGTGAATTTAAACATGCATAATTATCATGATGATGATGATTCACTTATCAGTTCGGTTATTTTGATTTGTTACATTAATTAATTAATTAATGTTAATTATAGTAGTAATAATAATAATAATAATAATAATAATAATAATAATAATAAATATAGCTATCAAATATTAAATAAATTATTTTATAATATAGACTAAATTCACATTGAAAATAAAGTTATTGTTAATCAACTATGAATTCAAAGTAGTTTAATGACTGTTAAATATTAGTAATTCCTGTTCCACTGTATTGGCAAACGAATGAACATTATTCATTCATTCATCTTTTTTTGGCTTAGTTCTTTTATTAACCAGGGGTTGCCACAGCAGAATGAACCGCCGACTTATCCAGCATATGTTTTTCACAGCAGATGCACTTTCAGCCACAATTTATCACTGGGGAAACACCCATACATTCACACGCATACACTACAGACAATTTAGCTTATCCAATTCAACTATAGCACATGTCTTTAGACATGCAACATGCCGGAGAACATGCAAACTCTGAACACAGAAATGCCAACTGACTCAGCCGGGGCTCGAACCAGTGAACTTCTTGCTGTTATAAAATAGTTCAGTGGTGCAGTGGATAGCGCTCTCGCCTCACAGCAAGAAGGTCGCTGGTTCGAGCCTCGGCTGGGTCAGTTGGCATTACTGTGTGGAGTTTGCATGTTCGTCCCGTGTTTGCATGGGTTTCCTCCGGGTGCTCTGGTTTCCCCCACAGTCCAAAGACCAATAAGCTAAATTGTCCGTATACTGTATGTGTGTAAATAGAAGAGTATGAGTGTTGCCCAGTGATGGGTTGCAGCTGAAAGGGCATCCGCTGCATAAAACATATGCTGGATAAGTTGTCAGTTCAAATGTTACTATTAAGCTACTATTAATAAACTACATGAATTAAAAATAGTTTAAATGACTGATAATTATTAGTAAAAATCCTCTTACACTTTATATTGCAGAATAAATCAAAGTTTTATTTATTTTATTGATTGAAGACTGAAGTTACAAAAAAACACTTGGATCACAGCTAACATTTGTTTCTTATTACTTCGCATGTAGATATTAATAACTAATATTAATTTAAATACTGTACATTAGTATATAACAACAGTAATAATTATTGTTCATGAAAGTGTAAATACTGTAAAAAATAATGTAATCACTTTTTTTCATAGACTTTGAATTTTTACATTATAAACATTTTATAATTCACTTTCCTTTGGCTTAGTCCCTTTATTCATCAGGGTTCACCACAGCGGAATGAACTTATCAAATGCCAACTTAGCCAGCATATGTTTTACACAGCGGATGCCCTTCCAGCTGCAACCCAGTACTGGGAAACATCCATACACAATCATTCATACTCATACACGACGGATAATTTCATTCATTCATTTTCTTTTCAGCTTAGTCCCTCTGTTAATTTGGGATCGCCACTCGGAATGAACCACCAATTTATCCAGCATATGTTTTACGCAGTGGATGCCCTTCCAGCTGCAACCCATCACTGGGAAACACCCATACATAATTCACATTCACTTCTGACAATTTAGCTTACCTGATTCACCTGTACCGCATGTCTTTGGACTGTAGGGGAAACAGGAGCACCCGGAAGAAACCCACGCGAATGCAGGGAGAACATGCAAACTCCACACAGAAACGCAAACTGACCCAGCCAAGGCTCGAACCAGAGACCATGCTGTGAAATGATAATGCTAACCACTGAGCCACTGTGTCGCCTCTAACATTTTATTATGGAAATAGAAAACATTAAGAACTATATGATATGCTATTGTGCATATGAGTTTAAATAATCTTAAAATAAGTTCATAATAATAACAATCACAAAAACAAAAGGCAAAACACAAAATGGTTGAGTAATATAATAGAATATTTAATGTGCACAATGATCATGATGATAATAATAATAAAGATTTAATAATAATTCACTTTCATTCATTTCTTTATTTTTATTTCAGCTTAGTCCCTTTATTCATCAGGGGTCGCCACAGCGGAATAAACTGCCAACTTATCCAGCATATGTTTTACGCAGCAGATGCCCTTCCAGCTGCAACCCATCACTGGAAAACACCCATACACTTCCATTCACACTCATACATTATGGACAATTTAGCTTACCCAATTCACTTATACCATGTCTTTGGACAGTGGAGGAAACCGGAGCACCCTGAGGAAGCCCACAACAACACGGAGAGAATATGCAAACTCTACACAGAAATGCCAACTGACCCAGCCAAGGCTTGAACCGGCGACCTTCTTGCTGTGAGGCGAGAGCGAGACCCACTACTCCATTGTGCTGCCTAATTTACATTCACTTATTTTAATTCATACTAATAGTATTAATAACAAAAATCTAATAATTACAGCTATTAAAATATTAAATGAATTATTTGTATAATGCTTATTAAATTCACATAGAAAATAAAGTTACTATTAATAAACTATATGAATTAATTTTACTAATAATTTTTAGTAAAGTAGCTCTTGCACTGTATATTGGAGAATGAATGAACATTTTATTTACTTTATTGATTGAAGTTGCTTATTGCAAAAAGCATTTGGAAGCATTATACTTTAAAATATATTAGTGTATAACCACAGTAATAGTTATGTTCATAAAATACTTGGCAAAATACTATTAGTAAGTAAATTTTAATAATAATACATTTTAATACTATTAGTAAATAATGTAGTCACACTTTTTTACTCATAGACTTTAAATGTTATAAACATAATATAATGTAAAAAGAAAACAGGAAAGCATGGGATATACCATCATGCAAAATTAGCCAAGTTGTACAAAGTATAGTATCAGTTCATAATAATAATAATCACAAAAAACAAAGGTAAAGTAAAGGAGCGGAAATATTTCTCCAGCTGAATTTAGAAGGTTATAAATCTCTTACAAGATGCCTAATAGAAGCAGGTTTACCTTCTATGTACATTCTCCACCTCTTCCCCATATAGTAATGCTTTGTGAGATTTACACTATTAAAAATGATGATTTGCTTAGATGCCATATAAACTGAAATCAATCATTCCTTCATTCATTACAGGTATCCAGTTTTTGCAGTTAGCTGTCATTTTAGATACATTCTTCATTTTTAAGTGAAGATGGAAAGATCTGGTCCTGTAGATCAGAACTGTGCTGTGTTCAGGCTGTCTCTGCCCCTTTAAGCCGTTAGTCTTGGCACGGGGGGCAGGGCTGGGGTGGTATGTCTTTAGTCAGCATGAGGGTATGGGACTATATTGGGTGGGATCACATACTCAAGGAGGCGCTAATTTTAGTCCCCTGAGAGGAGATGATCATAGCAGATATGCATGTTTAAAGCTTTACAGTTGGTACAATTAGAGTTTCAAATAGACTGGCAAGTAAAACTGACAAATGTGCTTAAACCTTAGATGTTTTCATGCCGAGTTTGTTTTAAGCATTTGACTGTGTACAGAGTTTCAGTGGGAGAAGATATTCATGAGAAGTTCAGCTACATGTGTGACATTTGACTGACCAAAATAATTGAGTTCATGGCTGTTTAGTAGAATTATACAGCACAAAATCAGCTCACTCTCCAGTGAACAGTCTTACACTTTAAATCTCAGTATAAAGAATACAACCTTGCTCATCTAAAAATTGGCATGTGTTTTTTTTTTATCAGTATTCACTAAATTTAGCCATTCAGTAATAGCCTATTAATTAATTTGAGATTACATTCTTTAACAATACCATTTTAGTGGGATCATAATTATACCATCCAATAAATCACTACAATTATTGTTAAAATGATTATCTATAAAGATTATTATGTATATTTATATTATAGATTATTAAAATAGCTTATTCTCTTTATTTTTTCACTGAAAGTTTATTTGAAGAACCATCAATGCCCCTGTTAAACATTGTAAAAACATAATGACAAAAAGTCAAGACAACAAATATTTATATGTTGCTTTAACTTTTTTTAATAAGTTAATCAGGTGTCAACTATTTTTTTTATTTATGCATAGATTAACTTAATATTTTTGTCAGTTTGATTGATGTAAGTTGAGATAGAAAAGTTAATTTCAACTAAATATTTGAGGCACCAATAATTGTTTACAGTGTAGCATCAGTGTGAAAGCCCACTTTTTAAAGACATTATTAAGAGTGTACATGACCTCGTTCACGTGATTCAAATCAGTATTGACGTTTTAGCATATTTAGCAGCATCCAGATAATCTTGAAGTTGAATCAAAGGCATTTAACAGGTTGAGGTGCCAGGCCTTAGTGTGTTGCTGAAAGGTTCTCCCCAAGAGGAAGCTTTGCACGTCTGCTGAAACAGCTCTGGCTGTAATTTGTCAGTCTGATCTCTCTCAAGACTAATGAAACTTGACTAGTGATTATAATCTATCACAAGGCAGTACAGAATGTCGAATTGGACATGCCATTTAATGTGAATATACTTTACCATCAACTCTTTCAATAATGCACAAAAATATAACTTAAACACTCTTATAAATCTCTATGCCAAAGAGGAAACTTTCATTGTAAAGATGTCCAAATAAACTTTTTTTGCACAGAAAGGTTCCAAGGTTTTTCATGCAGACATCAATCCCAGTAAGAAATGAATGCAAATGGAAATAGTAAGTGGCCATGTAACAAATATAATTTACTGCACACTAAAATAAATGATTAGCCTAAAATAACAGTAACCAACTAAACATTTTTTTACAAACAAAACTGTAGATATAGTTCATAAATATGGTCAGTAATGTGTGTAATACACAATGATATTGTAGGAGCAGAAGATAAATTGAGCACGTTGCAAAGCTTGTCTTACAACAGCTAAGAAGAGACTGTGGCAGGTGCTTCTTTCAGAAAGGGAAGGGTAAAAATAACCTTCTGGAGAAAACTCCATGTAATGGGAATGTGAGAGTGTGAACAATTAGGCTAATGTGAAACACAAACATCTCAGCTTTGTATGAAGACGCCATTTTTGTAATGGCTTTATCCAAATCACCTTAATAGTAAGAGCAGGAGATGAAGAATAAAGGCAGTGGAGGTTAAAAACTGTCAAACAAATCTGAACTAAGCCACTTTCTTTCATGACTTACACGTATAAGTTATTCTGACCTAAGTAACCTCGGTGATAAGTGACAATTTATTAAATGGTGCAGCAAAGTCTAGGGAGCCTCTACACGGGGTTTTGTATCTCTTCGCGGCATGGCCGACAGCTGTATCTCCGCCACACGACACGTCGTTGTGATTCCAGGAGATTTGGGGGGTTTTACCGCGGTCGATTAAAGCCAGCGCGGTGCTTGGCAATGAACGCGAGCCTGCTGAGAGATTGCTGTTCAACAGCCACCATATCTAAAGCTCTTCAGATTATGAACAATGCCTGAGGGACTCGTTGACATGCCTCTCTCTCCTACAAGACTGACCCAGAGATAGGAGTCCTCAAGATAGGATGGCTAATCACGAGCCCCTTGGGTGCTGTATAAAATTCATCGATTACTCTTCACCACTTAGAGTTTTTAAGGGGGGAAATGTCACCTTTTAGTCGAGCTCAGGCTTTATGTGTTGGGATTCGCACATTCAGCAGTTAAGCACGAATTGGGCAAATTGCTTTCCATACAGTTTTGATCCACTTCCCTCATTTTCACTCCGGGTTCAGGGTGTTAGAAATAGGAACACGGCCCCCTTGTAAGACGTCTTGGCCCTCAGATCCCATATTTAGGCATTTCAGTCGTCAAATGTCTGAAGGCAGCGAATCGCCTTCCAGATCTTTAAAAAAAGACGCAAGGAAGGAGGAACCGCGGTGGGTTGCTCCCAAAAAAGTATTGGGTGTCTTGCGGAACTTCTCAGGCTCCTGTGAAGGCACATATTTGACAGGCTACAGCGAGACCAGCTCGCACTCCAGCTCAGCGTTCAGTACAGCACAGACGCTCGAAGCCTCTCTCAGTCCAGTGTTTGGTGCGGCCACACATACACTCACACAGCCATGGATGCCATTAAGAAGAAGATGCAGATGCTCAAGCTCGACAAGGAGAACGCCTTGGACAGAGCAGAGCAGGCTGAGACCGACAAGAAAGCAGCTGAGGAGAGGAGCAAGCAGGTTGGACGAGAAGCCGCTTTTTATAGACCGCAATTTACGGACTCTGCTTTTATTGGCACCATTAGCCTACAGCTTGATTTAATTGATTCATTTTTTTTTCATATCAGAATCTTCTTAATACATTAAAACATTCATATGAATGATTTTGTTGAGTGATGCACTTGTGAATTGTTGCAGTCTCTTTCCATATGTACTGACACCCCTGCTCTTCCTGCAGCTCGAGGATGACCTGGTCGCCCTGCAGAAGAAGCTGAAGGCAACCGAGGATGAGTTGGACAAATACTCCGAGGCCCTGAAGGATGCACAGGAGAAACTGGAACTGGCTGAGAAGAAAGCTACCGATGTAAGCATTCATGAGCGCAATAAGGCCGTCTGATGTCACCTGTGCCCACCCCTTGCAAGACAGTCAAATTATTATATAGGCAACACATATTTAACCATCATTCAAAAGTACATTTTCCGACTAAACGTAGTCAGAGACTGCAAAGCATAGTCTTTAAAGTCACTGGATGCCTTTCTTAAGAGTGGCTGGACCACCTGGTAAGCGGATACCAATAAGGGACAGATGGAAAAACAGCCTGCCATGTGTACAGTTGTAGAAGAGTGTATGCAAATGGCGAGTTAAATTTAGCTGTGCGCTTTATAAGGCAAGTGTCTGGGGGGTTCGTCTTGCCCACCTTCAAGCGTCTTAATAGGGGTCCGTGTAGAATTTCACCTCTCCCTCGCCGCACACTCAAGACCATCCGCGATCATCAATCAAGCTAGTTTGATCAACGACAGGCCTACAAATAGGCTAATTATATTATGAATCTCTTACATTTATTATTTTATAGGTTATAGGATTTTTTTTTCACAATGAAACTAACTTTATTTCAACAATATATATTTTATTTATGATTGTTGTTATTATTTATTAGATATTCATTTTGTATATTTAGGTGATTTATAACTCTACATTATATTTATGCAGCCCCTACAATGCATTAATAGCCTGATAACCACCTTTGGAGCATAGACCCGAAAATGAAATGTCCAACTTTAAGTGTCTTTGTTTGGTCTGTTTTTAAAGATGAAACTAATTTGCAGATTACTGGTATAAAAAGTAGACAAATGTTATAAATGAATAGTACAAATAAACCACCAAATATATACATAAATAAATGATCAAATAATAATAATAACATCAATAATAATAATAATGGATAAATAGTTAATTGCAACTATCTATTATTTTCTAATTTTATATGCAATATTTTCTAAAACGTTTTATTTGAAACTTGTGAGAAAATGTCTAAAGTGTGATCATGTTTTTGTGTGTTCACATAGTAAGTGCTTAAACGTTCAAACGTAAGAAAAACTTACTATTCAAATAAAATGCACCTAAAAAGGACACAACTTTTTTGGGGGTCAAAAATGACAAAAATTATTACTTTTTCAAACGAAATATCATATATTAGATGCATTTTTTATTGCAAGTTTGAGTTTACTGTTATGAAAAATACACATAAACAATATTTTTAAATTATGTATGAATTATACACACTAAGAAATGCTTGGTTATTTTAAGGCCAAATTGGAAAAAATATTGACAACGAAAACATTGTCTTTTTTCCTATTAATATAATAATAATAATTATAAATTAACCCGCAGTTGGTTTGGTCCCTGTTACACCCAGAAATGGGTTGAATTAACCAAGCAGTGTAGCCTTTTAGGCTAAATTAAAAAAATATATTGAAAATTGTGAGAAATTTCAAACTAAACAATGCTCTAAAGCGCTTGCAAAGCGCACTTTGGCTAACTTGCAAAATAATATAACTTTTAAAGTTTCAAAACGTCCTTGAGGCTATATAATCTTACAGTTGCGTAATAATTACAGGAGAACCAAGCTTCCTATGTAGCGTGCGAAGGTTCATTAGAAATACAGGCCAGATTCTGCATTGCAGCAACATGCCACACGATGGCGCTGCACGCTCAGAAAATAGCACCGTTAACATGTTGCACAGAATTCCGCGTCAAAGAATGCACATCTATAGGGGCTTTAAAGTCAAAAGAATATATTATAAGATTAATAAATATTAACACGAATTTAACAACATTAAATTGAATTTTAATGAGTTTTTAAAATAGCCCCCTATTAATACAAGTTGTCCATTATCTGTCCAATAATCATTCTTTCAATAAACGCAACGATATTTTCTTATGTAATTTACAAAATGAGGTTAGGAAGTGGGTGTAAAACAGTAATACAGCGTGAATCGATTGACTTCCGGTGTTTAGTAAAGCGTTACCAGTCACTGGTGGTTGAGATTCACTGTGAACAGTACCGGAGCGCCGCTACGCCACTTATAACCATTGAAATAGACGGTTTAATTCGTGATGGCTGGTACGGCGTATCTAGATGCTGTGAAAAAGAAAATCAGATCCCTGCAAGAACAAGCAGAAGATGCTGAAAGCAGAACACTGAGACTACAGGAGCAGCTCGAGTCCGAGCGCGCGACCAGGCGATCTGTGAGCTCACCATAATCATTTAAGTGCATTAGCAGGAATAGATCACAGCAAACAGGAGAAATGTGCCAGAAAACAATGTTTACATCACGTTTAAAGAACATTCTCAGTGTAAGAAAGTGACGCGTAACGGGCGCGTAATACATGGATAACGCGTGATTTTTTTACAGTAGCACAACATGATTTAATATTTCCCCTGTTAGTCAATACATCTCTCGTTCAAAACAATACAGGCTTAATATTATAGTATGAATAAACGAGACAGTCAGTCCTTTATCTTTCACGAAAGCGCCAGTGTAAATTGTTATGAACACCATGTAGGTGTGTTGAGAGCTCATTGCTGGTTGTCTGCGCACAGGCTGAGGGCGACGTCGCTTCCCTGAACAGACGCATCCAGCTGGTTGAGGAGGAGTTGGATCGCGCTCAGGAGCGTCTGGCCACTGCTCTGCAGAAGCTGGAGGAGGCCGAGAAGGCTGCTGATGAGAGTGAGAGGTGGGTATGGAAACTCACAGGACACTTCGTATGACCAGGGCATACTTTCACCCCCCTCTTCCCAATTTAAGGAATAGTCCACCCCCTAAAATGAAGATTGACTCAATATTTAATCAGCATCACATGGTGCTAAACTTTATTTCTAGTGTTAAACCTAAAAAGAAGATATTATGAAGAATGTTGGAAATGAGTAACCATTGGCATCCATAATAGAAAAAAAGATACTATTGAAGTCAATGGGTCGGTTTCAAACATTCTTCAAAATATCTTTTTTTGTGTGTGTTTAGCAGAAGAAAGAAATTTAAAAAGGATTATGTAGTTGAGGGTAAGTCAGCAGTGTCAGAATTTTTGTTTTTTGGTTAATTACCCCTTTTATGTGAATATGAGGATTTTATGAAACCATTTTTGTGTGTATTTTTCAAAATATCTTCCTAGTAGGCTATTATTTTTAACCAAGATGTTTTAACCAAAAATGTCTAAATTCATTTTAAAACCAAGATGGATAATTTTGTAGCAATAAACTTGACTTAAATTTAAAAATGGAGTTTTGTAATGTTAAAAATGTAGTTAATGATACGTCTTTATCAAACTACATAAAAAAATATTACGATGTAAACTTTAGAAACAGGATTAGTGGTGTGGCTTAAGGGTAGTTTAGGATCAACAGTATAATTATAAATGTAACTACATGAATTAGTTACATTAATTATTTCACACAGGTATTTTTAAGGGATAGTTCACCCAAAAATGAAAATTCTGTCATCATTTACCCCTCCTCCACTTGTTCCAAACCTGTTTAAGTTTCTTCCGTTAAACACAAATAAAGATAGTCTGAGGTTGTAGGAAAAAACTGCCATTGACTTCCATAGTATTTTTTTGCCTCTACAATGGATATCGAAGGTTGTTTTTTCTGACATTCTTCAGACTATCTTCATTTGTGTTCAACTCTCTAAAAACACTAGAAGCTATCTCTTTATGTGAAATGAACAAAGTAAGCGCACTGTATCAAATGATACATGTAAGTGTTAGTATATACATTTAGTAAGCCTCATGATATTCCGGAAGCATTTATAACATCCAAACCCATCTGTTGTGTCTCTCAGAGGCATGAAGGTCATTGAGAACAGGGCCCTGAAGGATGAGGAGAAGATGGAGCTGCAGGAGATCCAGTTGAAGGAGGCCAAGCACATTGCTGAGGAGGCTGATCGCAAGTATGAGGAGGTCAGTTTTCTCTCTTTCTTATAAACCATTATACTCTAAACGGATCATTTCCAACAAATAACAGTGATGTAAACAAGTACACTTAAACTCCTTGTGATGGTGTACAGGTGGCCCGTAAGCTGGTGATTGTTGAGGGTGAGCTGGAGCGTACTGAGGAGCGCGCTGAGCTCAATGAGGGGTAAATACTAACTATTTAACAATATGTTAATCACCTGAAACCCTGTCCATTATAGTTTTGGCATTAATGTTTTATCTCTCCCTCTTCCAGTAAGTGCTCTGAGCTGGAGGAGGAGTTGAAAACTGTGACCAACAACATGAAGTCTCTGGAGGCCCAGGCTGAGAAGGTGTGAACGGTCATCTGCGTGTGTTGGTTGTGTGTTTGTGGACAGCTTTTTAATCCTGTCTTCTGTCTTTCACGCACACAGTACTCAGCTAAGGAGGACAAATATGAGGAGGAGATCAAGGTCTTGACTGACAAGCTGAAGGAGGTGAGTTCACTGTTATTTGTGTGTGTGTGTGTGTGTGTGTGTGTGTGTGTGTGTTTGTGGATAGATATACTGTATAAGATTGCCTAAAATCTCTTTGTGTTTCAGGCTGAGACTCGTGCTGAGTTCGCTGAGAGATCAGTCGCCAAGCTTGAGAAGACCATTGATGATCTGGAGGGTACGTCAATTCACACTTCACTGGTTTTTATGGTGCTGTTAGACAAGGGTTAAAGTAAGCTAAATAGAATTAGTGTAAAAGTATTCCTATGAAAACACCACCTTGGAATTGTAGGGTTGTATTTGCGATCTGTGCAGTTTTGAGGCTTTGCATTCCATATACACTCTCAGAAATAAAGGTACAAGAGCTGTCACTGGGGTGTTAATATCTCAAATTAATACCTCAATGGTACATAGTAGTACCTAAAAAGTACAAAAGTGGTCCTCTTTAAATTCGTAGGTACTAATATATACGTTTGAGATACCAATATGGACTCTACGCGTGTAAATGTGTACCTTTTGAAAAGGTACCACCCCAGTGACAGCTTGCGTACCTATATTTCTAAGAGTGTAGAAGAAGTGGTTTGGGGGATAGTGCCTGTCATACATGAAAATGACCGAGAGCTAAAATATATATTTCGAATGAACAATATTAAAATCCTCCAAAATGTTGTAATCATCATTTATAGATAGATTTTTTTAAATAAAAAAAACTAGCCTCTTTTTATAATTAAGGTTCTATCATGCAAAACATTTATTGAAGTCATATTTGTTTCTGTTTATATTAGAATCAATGTTTCACTTATGATATTAATTGCTGCAATAAGTGTGTTGACAATATGTTGACATATATGAGAATGTTCAATTTAATGCTGATTTATTTATTTATTTATTTATTTATTCTAAGCTCGGGTTAAGCTAAATATTTTGTCCTGTGCAGATTTTCATTTTAGCTAGCATTCATTTTGAAATGTTTGCCATTATAACTTGAATTTAAAGTTGGACTCAATGTCGTCCTTGCCTCTAAGATGATCCTGATTAGTCCTCCTGTGTGTATTGGAAGTGCTAATTGGTTAACAAATAGAACCTTATAGAAGCAAGATCAAGCTTGACTTTGCAGATAGACCCTTTTTATTTTCTACAAATGCCATAATTTGATTTCAGTGGTGTAAAGAAACAAATCACAGATACTCCAATTACTGTGATTGAGTAGTTTTCTTAGGAATTGTAATTTACTATTTAGCTTTAAAAATGCGTACTTTTACTTTCCATTGAGTACATCTTTAGTGATGCATTGGTACTTTTACTCCACTATTTTCCTTTAAACTGCACTCACTACTTTAGTTTTTCTTGTCTCTGGAAAGTGGCTGAGTAAAAAAATCCGTCCTGTGATTCCAGTCTAATCAAATTGCACATTAAAAAAATGGCTCCATGCTGAACAACCTCAAGACATTGTTGTTTTATAAATGGTGCAAACGGTTTAGAAGCATTAAAAATGTCCGAGATGTCCTAAAGGTTAACATAAGATGACCGAGAGACTGTTTAGGCTGCATCTGAGAAGATGATGGATGTTTACTGTATGAAGATTGACATCGCAAAATGGCCCTAAACAATAACGGAATTCACTATAGAATGATACATTTTTACACACATGCACAAATTGCATGTAAACACATCAACCTTTACAGTGTAATACTCACTACTCTTGAGTACTTTTAAAATGTCTACTCTTTACTCATACTTTGAGAAATATTTATAACAGATACTTTTAATCGCACTGCATTTTTTGGCACGTAATGGTACTTTTTCCTTGAGTATGATTTTTTTGTACTCTTTCTACCTCTGCTCAATTTTAACCAAAATGTCTAATGGATGCTTATAATTCCAAGTTGACCAAATAGCTCATTTCACCAGCTTATTTCACTTCATTTTCTTAGTCCTTTACTTTATCTGTCTATTTTCGGCTACTTGTTGCTGTTCATTTCACCTTTGCACTGCTTCCTCTCCCTCATTGTCTTGTTTTCTCCATTCTTTTCCATTCCTCCCCACTTGAACATCCTTTAATTGGCTACTTTAGATGAATTGTATGCCCAGAAACTCAAGTACAAAGCCATCAGCGAGGAGCTGGACCACGCTCTCAACGACATGACCTCCATGTAACTATCCCCACCTGTTTTTTGTGTGCACGCATTCTTTTGCTTTAATGGCATTCATAGTTTCTCTGTGTGCAAATATAAGCACATCTTCAGGTTTGCTAAAGGATTTTAGACTAAATGTAGGATTATTTTAAAGCCTGCATCACATACAGTTCAAGTCAGAATTATTAACCCTCCTGAATAATTTTTTTCCCCCAATTTCTGTTTAACGGAGAGCAGATTTTATCAGCACATTTCTAAATATAATAGTTTTATATACTTATTTTAACTCATTTCTAATAACTGATTTATTTTATCTTTGCCATGATGACAGTAAATAATATTTTACTAAATGTTTTTCAAGACACTTCTACACAGCTTAACGTGACATTTAAAGGCTTCACTAGGTTAATTAGGTTAACTAGGCAGGTTAGGGTAATCAGGCAAGTTATTGTATAACAGTGGTTTGTTCTGTAGACAATCAAAAAAATATATAGCTTAAAGGGGCTAATAATTTTTTTTACCTTAAAATGGTTTTAAAAAATTAAAAACTGCTTTTTGTCTAGCCTGAAATAAAACAAAAAATACTTTCTCCAGAGGACAAAATGTTATCAGACATACTGTGAAAATTTCCTTGCTCTGTTGAACATAATTTGTGAAATATTTAAAAAAGAAAAAAAATTCAAAGGGGGTTAATAATTCTGACTTCAAGTGTATGAGTTGTTTAGTTAAAGTGAATGTATGAATGATGAGATTACACACACACAAACAAACACACACTATCTATTATTTGCAATGCATGATTACTCCTTTTTTATCTCTTGCATGCACTTTGTTGTTTAATATCAGCATCCCTAATTTGTTTCAACTCTTTTTTCTCCTCCCTCCCTGCACAGTTAAATTTTTTACATCTCATCTCTGGCTCCGGGCACCATCTGAGCGGCATCTCCTTCATTTCCTCCATGTTTCTCTTCTTTTCTTTGTTGCCGCTTTTCTCCATCGCACTATTCTCAGTGGGAATGGAGGACTCAGCTCTTTAGTCCCATCATTTGTACAGAAATTTTTAGCTTTCTGTGAAATAAAATTTCCTCCCATCTGTGTAAGCTCCCCACTCCTTTCTCTCTTTAGTATGTCTTAACTCTTTTGATTTCTTATGTCCTTAATTTATTGTCGAGAAGCTTGAATAAAATCCAAAAAAAGCTCCTTCTCATCACCTCATGTTGCTTCTCTCTTTGACAGTTCATGTTTACCTGTAATGCTCATATTCATACCATAGGAATCCACAGTGCAGGTTCTGCTGTAAAAGTTTAAAGATCTCAGCATAACATTTAATAAATCATTTTGGGTTAATGTTTGTGAAACTAACATCTCTCCTAACATCTCTCTTTTCATTTCACTCTTCTCTTCTCTTCTCTTCTCTTCTCTTCTCTTCTCTTCTCTTCTCTTCTCTCCTCTCCTCTTCTCTTCTCTTCTCTTCTCTTCTCTTCTCTTCTCTTCTCTTCTCTTCTCTCCTCTTCCTTCTCCAGAACCGCTCTATCAACAGCTCCAGAAAAACCGGGTCCTTTCACATGAGCTCAGTTTAGCGCTGAATGAGTTCTGACCTGACTGTAGAATAAGAGAACTTATATACTAAATAGAACACTAAATATTATGTCAGTTGTTTGTGGTGCAAATCAGTGATTAGTGAATAATCAGTGATGACAGATTGGAACAATTCTATTACTATTCTATTGCTGTTTATATTGAAGATCTTGAGCTTTTTGTGTGTGTGTGTGTGAAGGTTGAAACATGTGATAAAGCATATGCATTTACAGTTACACAAAAGTTATAGTTATTTAAAGTATACATAAACGTTTTCCTTTAAAAGGTAACAGGCCTCGTCCTTTTAAAATATTTTATAGGGGAAAATCTTAACATAGAAAGGGACAAGTGCCTTCTGCATTACATAAATCACGTTGGATCAATACCAAAGGTAGTTTGTTGTGGGAGTATATTGCTATATTTTCAGTAGTTGAACTTTTAGAATCAGAAAAAGGTTATTAGAAGTGGCTATATCAATAACTAGCAACCCAAGCTTATTAAAAATGTGTGCAATTAGTAATATTCAGATACAATGAGCAAATCTCAGGTAAATTAAGAAATATTCTACCAGAAACGTACATTTTCACTTATAAAAATGTGACAGGGCCTTACATTTAAGGTTGTTCTCCTCCAAAAAAAACTTAAAAAAACACGCAAAAAATCATACCGTTCAATGATAGAACACATCCTTGATCACTGTCAGCTTCTTCTCTGTCAAATGATGTCACTTCCGAGTCATAGCCATAAAGGTGTATTGCACGCATCTTATGTTACATTTAATGCAAATCTGACAGGACTGACAGAAACATTGGGGCAATTGTATAATAGTATTTATTTATAGAATAAATTTATTATTTCATGTTTTTAATCAATTGATGTGAATGATAACAACTTTAACTCGCTATTTATTAAGTTTTTTTCTTCTTCAAAATAACAGTTTATAACATAACAAACTATTAAAGCTGACAGAGTTTGTACATTTGTAAAGTGTTTTGATAAAGAAAAGAAAAAAATCTGGGAACCAAATGAATGACATATTCTTTTACAGAACAACTCACTTAAAAATCAACCATCAGTCCATTTTAGAAATATTTGGAATGAAATACTTCTTATTCACTGTATTTGCGTTATTATTTCAGGGACCGATAATGTACGTTTTTGGTAGAATGTGCCTCAAATGTTTATATTTTCTGGAACAAAATGACGAATAAATTATGAATATTCCTGAATAAAATTACTTATTTCAAAATGCCTATTGTCTGTTTCACATACTGTATGGCTTTGTGTGTGTGTGTGTGTGTGTGTGTGTGTGTGTGTGTGTGTGTGTGTGTGTTTGTGTATTCAGTATAGCCCTCTTATACAGATCAAATTTACTATAAAAAATAATAAAAGTTATTTTTTGTAATAATTTTATTGTAACCAAAAATAAACCATGGATTGCCTAAAACCACGGTAAAGTCTTACTGCCACAGTATTTCGAAGTAAAATTTTGGTTATTCTTCAAACGGCAATCCTTCCACCTTATACACTTTGGCTAAAATAAAATCACGAATTATTTTGTATCGGAATATAAATGCTTCTTTTGAAGTATAAATATACAGCCTAATATGAATAACTAATATGAACGTGTTTCAGTGTTGGTTCAGATGTTTTGATGTTCAAGTCTGTGAGACTTTTAAATAACTTCCGGTCCCGCCTCTTCCGAGCGTTGGGTCAAATGTGAGAAGAGAGTACGTGCGAAAATGGAAGGGGATGCAGTCCCTCCAAGCATCTTGGGGGAAAGTAAAGCAGGATATGTCCTGGGCAACGTTGCGGAGGTCGTGGAGAGGATTTTGACATTTGTGCCCACTAAAAATCTCTTCCGGGTAGCAAGGTAATGTTTTTTTGCTAACTGCATATGTTTTAACCTGTTAGCTTTGTGCTAATTTGAACACCATTCACTCCATCACTGCTTGAGCGTTATTTGATAAGCTCAAATTACCACTCTGGTTTATTATTACATCTTCTAGTGTGACTGGACTGTTCCGGCCTTTCTGGTTTCTTGTTTTCCTTCCCAAACAAACCCATCAGCTGTTGCTAAAAGAAAGTAACTCTAATGGGTTGATGTGGATTTTCTCTTTCTAAAGCGCAGTCAGATGATCTGTTAATGTTTCTTTAAACAGTTAAACACGCAAGCACCCAGATCTCCAGAATAAATTAAATAAGTTTAAAACCTCTGGCTTAATCAATGAATGAGTTCAATAATACTTTTATTTATATGTTTTATCTTAAGTTATTTACAAATGAGAAGATCAGTAGAGGCAATTCACACAAACTAAAGAGCATTTAAAAAAATGTATGTACATATATATGTATGAATTTATACGTTTACATTAGTGTATTCATGTGCTTGGGTTGAGGCTGAGCCATGTATAATAACTAATAACAGTGATGCAATATTAATAGCATTTTAAAGTATAAATAACAATTAATTTTTGTGATAATTTATCACAACAAAGAACTGAATTCCTATAAAACGAGCGCTTGAATTTTGATCTAGTATTTTCAATGCTTGAAAATTGCTTAGGTTTTGGATAGTGCTTGAAACCCTATAATAATTTGATACTAAATAGGTAATAGTAGTTAACTTTATAAATAAAATAAATCAAATATATTGCTTTTTTTCATAAAATTAAAACTCTAAAGAAGACTATTTGTTTACTTTTCAGATGACATTTGAGAGTAATTTTGGGCTTGGAGCAAACATACCATCAAAATTGTTCCTTCAAACACTTTACTATACTACAGAGTAGGCATGGGATGATAATTGTTTTCAAGGTTTTCCATGATTTGGAAAAGTCTAGGTTTTAAACCTGCCAAAATTGTCTGCTATACTTCCTACGGTATATGAAAGTTTTTATTTATTTATTATTATTATTATTATTTTTTTTTTTACAATTTATTATAAGTTTTTTTTTAGGACAACAGCAGAAAAGATATCCAAAGATGCAGTTTTAAATTGTAAAGAAATCTGTGTTTTGGAAACTAATGAAAACAGCAGAAGTCAATGATTCATTTAAATTAGTATTATTTATAAATATTTAGCTCGACATTTTTACTGAACCAAAATATTTAAAAAGTTTTTCAAAAGAAAATAATTTCTGTTCAAAGCGTAAACTAAGTTGTTTTTTTTTACAAAGACATTTAAAGAAAACATATTTTAGAGCAGTGATCACAATACCGAGAAACAGTGATATTTTTGTGTGTGCTCCCTTATACTGGCTCATGCCTACCACATACAAATGGCATCTGTAATGAAATAGCATGCATACATGTAAATATGTAATTCACCACACTTGTAAAGTGCTGGACAAGTTTGAAAATGCATGGAAAGTGCTTAAATGTGCAAGAATTCTATATCTCAGTATCAGTTTGTATGTAAATATCTGTTTTATTCTGCAGTGTGTGCAGACTATGGAGGAATTGTGCACGCAGAGTATTGAGGACACAGCAGAGACTGACCTGGCTCTCCGCCTCAGGCTCATCCATATGCAGGGAACATGTTTTGTTTACGACCATGGAAGAAGACTTGGAGGTCTGATCGTCTTCGGTGCATATTAGTAATAAAAAGAAAGTTATTATAAACTTTTGTCAATCCAAATCTCATGTTGTTTAAATGTTTGTTTGACTACCTGCAGAATGTCTACCTTCTGCCTCAGACTGCTCTCTTAATGGTAGATGGGGACTTCATCTGGCCTTATACTTACTTAACTGATAGTAAGTTACTTGATTATATGCATTGAAAACATCTCGGTCATGATAATGAAAATAACCAATTTTTTAACCAATACAGCCAGGAGTTGTGATGAAGTGGTGCCAGATCCTGTTGAGAAGCTTAGACGTATACTGCCTAAAAACTGTGACATCTTAGGCATTGTTGCAGCAGGAATTGTGGGTAAGACTCATTGTTTTTCTTTACTTGTTATTTGACTTTAGTTTATAGCTTTATCTTTGGCAGAGTGTGATTGTTATTTCTTGGGCTGTGCTCTATAGTGACCCCCAGTGGATCCCCCAGCAGCCCCCCACAGGAGCACGAGGCGGGTGAGGCTGGTTTTAGTCTGCTTTTTCCTGCCATGGATGGGGTCACCATCCAGTCATTCCACTTCTGCAAAAAGAGCTTCAGTGACACGGCAATGGAGGAGGCAGGTGAGGGCTGGTTTATAGTATATTTGTAAAATGTAGCAACTGGTGCATTTTTTGGTCCCCCGAGACATTTACAGAACAACAATACTGAGGGTTCTTAAAAATGTCATGCTTCCCAAAAATTATTAAAACTAATACTATTATGAAACATTTTAAATAATTGTTCTCTATTTGAGAATGAATTTATGCGTTTAAAAATGTTTATTCCTGTAATACAAAGCTGAGTTATTTGCAACTTTCTCCAGTCTTTAAAGACTGCATGTTCTTTTTAAAAACTTTTTTTTTTGAGTTTTTATTATTATTATTTGTGTTGAAAATTGTTGTTGCTTAATGTTGTGTAAACTGACATATTTTTATGTTTTTTAAAATAATAATGTATTATTTAATTACTTATTTGTAAATGTCTTTTACTTCTGATCAATTTAATGCATTTAGCTGAATTAAAATACATTTTAATGGCCCGTTTCCAGTGGTACGGTAGGGTATGGGTCACCTTTATCAGGCTTGCATCTCCACTACTAAAGGGTACCAATGGTGGGCTTGGTGTATGACAGAAAGTTTCAGTCAACGTCATTTTCGCCCCAAAATTTCTATAGTAAAGCTTTATGGGTCGTTTATATATCATTTGAGAAGCACTTCTCTCACAACAGATGCTTTATACACAAGTACTTTTGTATAAATGTTTATTACTAACTTTTCTATGAACATGAGTTGATTATAACTGCAGATCAATGTCAGTGCGAAATAGCCTACTGTAACGTCTGCAAATATATAAATATTATATAAATAATATAGCATATATGAACACGTACAGACCATTACAGTCTCCGATATGTTACCAATTACAGAAATACTACACACAGCATAAATTTGGTCTTTATTTAGGTTCAAAAACAACAGAAAATAAAGCCCACAGTCAGTGCATACCTCTCATCTGTGTCTTTAACATTCAGCAGCACATGTAACCTCTTGTTAGAGGGTAATTCCATTCAGAATTCATAATAGTCCAAAAGGTGAGGATAATTGTTAAATATGGCAGTTTGTTCGCGTTTGCTGAAAAAATAATGTGCTCCTTTTTTTTCCGGCTTCTCTGTTTTTTTTTCGCACGTAACTCACGTTTTTCAGTTTCTGACAGGATCGATCGGGTTTTAAAAAGCATGTCAATAATCAAGCACACCTTATTATCATGAGCTCAAGAAGTTTGTTATTTCAAATATTGATGTGTGGCGAGTGTCTGTCTGCATTGTGGTGATGTTTCTGATGCAACGAAACCACTCGTGCTTCAGACTGGCTCGTAAAAAACTACAGGGTACAGGGTAAAATCGGCTCTTCTTCTTGGCTTTGTGGCTGTTCATCAAGACTAAGACAAGGTTTGTTTGAGCCCGGGTCAACCATGGCTCGTTGTTATATGTATATATAATTACGGTGTAATCTCTCGGCTGTGTATTTAAAACATGCCGGTTCTTTTGTTTTCATTCTGGCTTGTTGCATGAGCGAATGACTTATCTCTGTAAACCAATAGCATTCAGCTGCGCGTCTGGCTCCGCCTTTTGCTACACTTGGTATCTTTTGCAAAGGGTGCCGAAAAAGTGGTACGGTTCGCTTTTAGGTACCCTTTGACAGTAGAAACGACCATAAAATTGTACTGAACCGTATTGTACAGTACCACTCACTGGAAACGGGCCATTAGTGACCATTAATTTCTAACCTTGTGCTCTTTGAATGGTAGTGTAAATAAGCATTGAATTTACTGCATGGTAAGTCATGTAAAATGCTTTTAATTTGATTCTTAGGGTTGATTAATAATCCTGATCTAAAGGTGGTGCTGATGTTCAACTACAACACCTATAAACCTGGAGGTGGACGCTTTCTTAACAAGCTACTGGAACCTCTTTCCCAAAGTAACATACTTGTAGTCGGAGGACAGGTCGAGAGAGAGTTTACCAATGAGCCAACCTGGTAGGTGAAGAAAGTTAACTGGTTTAGATCAGTCATGTTAGTTTCTGTTTATTGTGTGCAAAGGTTTTTATGGTCTCTTCTTTTTCCTCAACTGCCCACTATTTGATCTACTGAGCTAAGTTTCATAGTGTGGGTCAAATGTACCTAAAAGGGCAAGTTAGGGTTAGTCTTTAGTTCCATAAAAGCCCAGAAAGGATGACAAAGTATGACTACCAACCAAATGTTGAAGCAGAAATCGGGACTTATCAGACCAGGCATTATTTCTTACCATGCTGTAAAAGGAACCTTATAAAATAGAAAATAGTCTTATCAACCTTTCACTGCTGGCTAAGAAATACTTACTGTGCATCTAGCCACAGAGACACTTAATACGCTCTACTTCTGTTGTTGTAGCTCATCTGCTTCAAGTTTATTGTGTTATGTGTTCAGAGAGGCTTTTCTGCAGACCACAATTGTAACTTGTGGTTTTTTGAGTTGCATTAGTCTTTCTTTCAACTTGAACCAATCTGGCCATTCTCCTCTGACAATTCCACCCACAGATCTGCTGGAGATATTTGTGTGAACATACCAGTAAATCATCAGTTTCTAAAGTACTCAGAAAAGCCTGTTTGGCACCAACTGTTCCACATTCAAAGTCACTTTCTTCCCCTTTCTGAGCCCAAGTCTGAACTTGGCCACATCTACATGCTTAAATCCACTGAGTTACTGCCACATGGTTGGCATTGAATGTAAAATCTCCATGGCTGTATCTTAAATCACCCCCTATACCTCTAATTAGTGTACCGTTTTGAGGGAGCAGCCATTTGCAGTGGTGTCCAAAATCATAGTGCACTTCTGGAGCACTTACTGCTTGAATTCACTCACTCGTTTTCATTCACTTCTGTAACCGGACAATATTTGTAGACGAATTCAGGGTATATGTGGTGATTTCAGGTACAGCCCATCAGTGAAGTTAACACACATTCTGCTGTCTGTTTGCAGCTGTTCTGAAGACTCCTATGGGGCAGTAGGTCTGAGCATCAGCGGCTCCAAGGTGCAGGGTGCCTCCGTTCTAGTGGAACAGGACGTTAGCACTGCCAAAGGAGCCGAGGCTACTATCCAGCGGCTGAAGGCTGCTAATATCCCTGAGAGAAACACTATGGGCTTTATGTTTGCCTGTGTGGGTCGTGGCCACAACAGCTACAATGACCAGCTGAATGTGGAGGCTGACGCCTTCCGGAAGATCTTCTCCAACATCCCACTTCTGGGATTCTTCGGCAACGGGGAGATCGGCTGCGACCGCATTGTCAAAGAGAACTACACACTGAGCGAGACCGATGCTGATGGACTACAACACTCTTTTACAACAGTCATGAGTCTAGTGCATTTTGGATAGTAAACTAAGCATTTTCCAAAACCCCTAGTGTGCTTGGTGTTTCAGGGCAGACACCGAATGCTTGTTGAAGGTCAGATCAGGTAAAAATCTCCTAGGTTCTTCTTTGTTTTATTTCTAAAATCAAAATATCAAATTTTTAGCTGGTTTGGTTAAGCGCTTGCCATGACCTAAAGGTAGTGGATACAACAGCACTGGCATCAGAAATCAACTGGATATTAAAAGCTTGTTTATTAGCATGCTAATTTTGATGTCGCTGAAGTTGGGAAATGCTGAACGTTTGTAAAGAATGGTTGGGAATTAGGTTTGAATGGCACGGTGCTAAACCTCGACCTTTGACTTGAGTTTTATATGTAACACTTTGTGTAGAGCAGAGCTGAATTCTTTCAACTAATCAGTTTTCTTGTGGGCCAAACAGCTCACTAAAGCCTTATACACGAGTAGTTTTTATACATTTACAACGCACTTTGAAAAACAAAAAGCTAACTGTGGAAAAATTGGGGAACCATGCAGCCGTTTAACAGTTTTGGTTTATATCAAAAGGTCTCAACTCAATTCCTGGAGGACCGCAGCTCTGCACAGTTTTGCTCCAACCCTATCAAACACAGCTGATCCAATTAAACCAGGTGTACTTCAAAAGAGTCATTACCACCTTGATTAGTTGGATCAGCTGTGTTTGATCAGGGTTGCAGCAAAACTGTGCAGAGCTGTGGTCCTCCAGGAATTGAGTTTGAGACCTATGGTTTGTATCATGGGACTTTGGTTTGACTAGGCTACCTTCACCTAAGTTTAAAAGTGTTCAGATCAATGTGCTGACCTTTTTCTTGTATTTTAAGTTTAATCAGTTACATAGTGATCCAAATTGTATAATCAGTGCTATGAAACTACAGGAAAAGCATTAGCAATGGAAGACTGTAGAACACAGGTCTCAAACTTGATTCCTGGAGGGCCGCATCTCTGCACAGTTTTGCTCCAACCCTAATCAAACACAGCTGATCCAACTAATCAAAGTGTTCAAGACAACTAGAGACTATTAAGCAGGTGTGAGTTGGAGGTGGTTGGAGCTAAACTGTGCAAAGCGCCCTCCAGGAATTGAGTTTGAGACCATTGCTGTAGAGCTGGAGGGCCGCAGCTCTGCACAGTTTTGCTCCAACCCTGATCAAACACAGCTGATCTAACTAATGAAGGTGTTCAAGACACTTTTGAACTCCTCGATTATTTGGATCAGCTGTGTTTGATAGGGTTGGAGCAAAACTGCAGAGCAGCGGCCGACCAGGAATCATGTTTTTGGGACCGTTGATGTAGAGCAGAGATGCACAAACTCAGTCCTGGACGGCCGGTGTCCTAAATAGTTTAGCTTCAACTCCCTTCAACAAAGCTCCCTGAAGTTTCTAGTATACCTAGAAAGAGCTTGATTAGCTGGTTTAGGTATGTTTAATTGGGGTTGTAACTAAATATGCAGGACACCGGCCGAGTTTGGACATTGCTGATGTAAATGATTAGCTTCTGTTGCTTCGTAAGAAAAGCTTTATCAGCTCATGTAAATACAATAAGTAACAAACAAATACCATTTCTAAGTGCCCAGAGTGATAAAGGACAGAAGTCACTGTGTTTTCCCTCCTCTGTCTGTCCCAAAATCTTATATATAAAATCCTGTACACTTCCTTCTGGCTAGATTTTCATTCCCGTGTTCATCAGTTGAGTTAAGTCAACGGTTAGTCAGTCATTCTGTGCTGTCGCTTAAATAACACAGTGTTGTTCACAGACGAGTGAACTGTTAAAGGGCCGTCTGTCTGCATTGTGGAGATGTTTCTGATGCAATATTTAGAAGTTTGATTCAGTGTTTCTGCCAAATCCTCCTCTGTTTGCTCCTCTCAGCATTTGTTCTGATGATAAATAATCCTTGGCTTTTATATTGCTTTAGCTAACAGGTAAGTGACTTTTTACTGCTGCCGTAAATGTTTTATGGCTGTGTGTTGTTTATTTTTCTTTACTGTTTACATATGCTACTGAAAAAGTTCAATCATTCAGTTTGCTCATGTTGTCTGACATGTAAATTATGTATATAATAAAACCCAGATAAAGGTTTTGTGTTCCCGTTTATTTCAATGATGAAAAAGGAGGGGAAAAAACATAACTTTATATTTGAATATTTAAAAATATATAAATCACCGAAGCTGGAAGAGAAAAATATGCCACATTTTGTCTTCCTCAGCAGCTCCAGGTTTCTTCAGACTCATTTTTGTAAATTGAAGTAATCAGGCATGTTTGTTTGATCGTTGAAGCTGTAGCTGGCATCATGGTGGCGCAGTGGGTAGCACGATCGCCTTACAGCAAGAAGGTTGCTGATTCGAGTTCCAGCTGGCTCGATTGGCAATTCTGTATGGAGTTTGCATGTTCTCCTCGTGTTCGTGCGGGTTTTTTTTTCGGTTTCCCCCAGTTCAAAGACATGCGGTATAGGTGGATTGAACAAGCTAATATGGGTGTTTCCCAGTGTTGGGTTGTGGCTGGAAGGGCATCTGCTGCATAAAACGTGCTGGAGAAGTTGGCTCTTCATTCTATTGTGGCGACCCCTGATGAATAAAGGGACTAAGCCAAAAAGAAAATAAAGGAAACTGTAGCTTGTTTAGATATGACATTTGAGTTACTGTATGTAAAGTATGAACTGAGGATGCTAAAGAGCAGAGAATGAACAAAAGTTTACTTATAATACATTTCATTAGTTTTATGTTGAAATGATTAATCCTCGTTTTATTGTATTTTTCCGTTTCACTTGTACAAAAACTTGTGTGTTTGACATTTCTACAAGTATTATAGTTAAAAATATAAAACAAGTTTATATAAAAACAAGTTTGAAAATACCGTTTATTCAATGAGATAAATGTTTGTTAATGATCAAATTAAAAAGAATGAAAGTTAGAGAAGATTTTTCATTAGTTATTTCAGTAACTGACAAAAGCACTGGATTAGGCTTTAGCGTTTATAATAATATTTTTTAAAGTATTGCACTGAGGTTTGCAGAAAAAAATCTGTCCACATACTGATTCTCCACTTTTTCTTCTGATGAACAATTCATTCATTTTTTCATTTTTCTTAGGCTTAGTCTCTATTTCAGAAGTCGCCACAACTAGTTGAACCGCCAACTATTCCAGCATCTGTTTTACACAGGAGATGCCCTTCTAGCTGCCACACATTACTGGGGAAACACCCATACAAACTCATTCACACATACACTAACCTTCTTGTTGTGAGGCGACAGTGCTAACCACTGTGCCACCCCCTGTAAGCAGATTTTAAAAAAGTCCCTTTTTGTCATCCTTTTTTCATTTCACTCATATTTTACTCACCCAAGTGCTTCAAAACTTGCCACAAGTAAAAAAAAAAATAAATAATAGTATTGAGCTCAATGACCACAAGTTTCCAACATTCTCCACAATATATTATTTGTTAAACAACAGAAACTCAAACAGGTTTGAAACAAGTGAGGCCGAGTAGCATAAAAAAATGCCAGTCGCAAAGTCATTTATAGTCGACAAAATGTCTAAAGGAGACCTTCAGAATAAAGCTATCGAAAAGCCACTTTGTTAGACTGGCGCTATTAATAATTGGAGTCTCTGAAAAGGTTCATATCTTATTTCTGCAGTAGAGGGCGCTCTGCAACAGCCATCAGTGATGGACAAGCAGTTTGAAAATCTCAGTCACAATTTTCTTTCGAAAATTAAATATGGATTTATTACAGTAAAGGTGTAAGGTGTAGTAACCAGTGTTGTTGTTGTTTTTAGATTAATTACCGTTTATATAATGACATTGTTATTGTGACTGTTATTAAACTATGAGCAAAACAATGATTAATTGTTTTAAAATGTTATTTGGAACACACATGGGAAGAAAGCAATGACAATGACTGCACCAACAAAACAAAACTTCTATTCTACTTTGTATAAACTTTGTTAGCTCAAACTAACCAGCTTTAAAATATGATGCAAATTGCCACCATGGGCACAATGAGCCACAAGTGACCACACTGTTTATTCTTTTTATTATAGTAAAAGCACAATAATGATTTTTTTTTTTTTTTTTTTTGTAGATTTCATGTGTATTAAAACCAAGGGGCCTTCTTAAAAGAGTCAGGTGCTCATTTCTGTGTGGGACGTTGGTTTTTGAGGAACTAAATAAGAATGTACACTGTACAATAAATTAAAAAAAGAAAAAAGGCTGCCTAAATTTTGCTGAATCAAATTTAATATTTCATTTAAGTAATTTTATTAATGTGACCTATAACAGCTTATATGTGACTTAAAAAAAATATTCGAAACCTGGTTTACTTATCTTATGATGTTTAATGAACAAAACCAGTTCATTTGCAAAACAGATCTGAAACATCAAAGATGGCATTTTATTAAAAGTAGTAAAGGCCACATAAGTTAGATAAATTCCCCTTAAGCACAGAGTCTGACAAAATCCTATAAACATTGTGATCACTGTTATGAATACAGCAAAAACTTCACTGATATCTGATACACTAATAGAAGTGTTTTTTTCCCTTGAGTTAATTTGGTCCAATGTACTTGATTGGAGTGTATTTAGCCTTTTCTTTTAATTCTCAGGAACCTGAAATGTCTCTTCCTTGGTTTGGTAGCGATGGATTTGTTCTTCAGTGTTTGGACTTTCAGCAGTGAAAATTAAACCACACTGAACTGAACTAAACTGCTCTGGAAACTAGACTGACAGTTTCAATTTACAAGAACTTCTATGTTAAGCTGCTATGATACAATCTACATTGTAGAAGTGCTATAGAAATAAACTTGAGTTGAATTGAATCCAGTTCCATTTTAGTAAGCCTTTGCAAATGAACTCTTCAAAAAAAAAAAAAAAAAAAAAAAACGATTTGTGAAAATTCAGTTTAAAAGTCATCAGTCTAATTGTTTTTTTTTTTTGCAAAAAAATAACTCCTTAAATCTTGTCATGACTTATTGACCATATCATTTTTAACAGTGTATTTTTTTGTAACATCAAGAAACTAACATTTACACACTGTAAGTATAATTAACAGGTTGTTTACTTCATCATTCATGATTTTTTTAGTTTATTAACGCTTATGTACTGCATTATAGGACCTTGATCTCTTCTCTGTCGACTTTTGATGTTGAAAATTCAACTCTGCAGTGTAACAAGGTGACTTTTATTGACATTTTAGTTAATAATTTAATTAATAATTTAGATTGAATATTTTCTAATAAAACATCCCTCAATCACATTCTTTTCTTGTTTTTGTTACTCAACTAAAATGTCAGTATGTCAGTATGTTTTTATTATAGTTGTCGTTTTCATCAGGAGAAACTTGTTCGTCACGAAAATTACACTTTAAAAAAATCTGTTATCTTGCATTTTTTTTATCAGTTATTTATCAGCAGCTGGGGTGGCAGATAAAAATCGTAAAATAAGGGCTGTTAAATTACAGACATTTACTGTAGAAAAACAGACAGTAAATTACATAAACTTACCAAAAATGTAAGTAAATTTCTG